CAAGGACAACGTTGTCATCTAACTTGTGCAGAGGGAAGAGGTCTTTCAAACTATAACAGAATGAGCACGATTGAGTCGAGGAGGCCGGGGGAAAAACGAAAAACACCATGTAAGCGAGACCTGAAATTTCCCATGAAAATTTTGTTCCACTACCGGCCTGCAGTTCCTTTCATCTCATCCTACGATCCTAAAAGCTTTCCCAAAACCTTTTCCCACCGAAATGAAGCATACTAAATGCCCAGCAAATGGAAAAAAAAAAACAAATGAGACAAGAAGGGCGAAAGAAGAGGGGGAAAGGACAGCGAAAGTTAGCATTCTGCGCATGCCCCAACTTCGGAAGCTGATATTTTGCATCAGGAACAGGAATTAGGACTGGTAAACAGCTTTTTTTGGTAAGATTCGGATCTTTTGGTGCACAAAATGTCAGCTTTGCTCGGGGAAGTGCAAACTAGAAGAAAATCACAGGCTAAGATACCGCATTAGCCCCTGAATTTGCAACCCTATTCAAACTAGCCAGGATGCAAATGCCGCATTTACCATTTTTGCCACTGATTTTCTCCTACTTTGCACTCGGCTCTTCTGCATCATCTTTGCCCTGAACAAATTTGAGCGAATTTAATTTTTCGTGAAGTGAATTTATAGCAAGAGAGTGACCCGAAAAAAAAAGCTTGAAAACGCGTTTTCCGGCAAAATTACCAGGGGGCAAATCGGTTAACGGTCTAAAGTTTCAAGAACATCTCACCTTCCATTTGTACACAAGCTCATGAGTAGCATTCCGTGGTAAGGTTGCATAGGCTTCAAGGTGGATTTCTTGGGATCGACTAACCTTCAAACAAAGCGAAATGTGTTAAAGGAAACACACAGGCACCGGTCATACTGAAAAATATCAGTGGAGAAAGAACCGTAGGGGAGGAGGGGGGAGAAAATGGCTGAAAAAACCTCGTGGCATGAACAACGCTACAAGAAGGAAAATCCTCACACCACTGATTCACGCGAAGGGTGTAGCGAACAACCGGGCATGCGCACGCTGAACGACCACGTTTCTCTGGCATTGAAGACGCTCATAGTTGTTAACTCCTTCAAATTGCATTTAAATCCATAGCACAGTCAACATTAATAGAACTTAGCCTTGCAGCTCTTCAAAACCTCTAATTTAATTGGGACCCTATGTGTCGCAGCTCTTTTTGTTTTCCCTAAAACCAATCCCGTGAGGCCTTAAGAGAAACCCGAAGAGAGCTCCAAGGTCGCCCCTTCTTCGCGATACCCGCCACTTTGCACGCACTTTAGGGTTGATGGGATTGTAATTTAAAGGGACAATGGACCATTTTACAGTTGTGAGTTTAGTATCCCAGGCTTTGAGTGACCCGGCGTGAGGCTGAGGTTGACCTTGTTTTGATAACAAGTATGATACAAACCCCTTTCCTTTGCTCCTGAAAATTAGAGCGATTTTCGTGTGACCTTGGAATGAAAACGCGCCAACAAAACAAAAACAACAAACGAACGAAAATAGAGCGATTTGATTGGTTTATCGAACGGATACAAACGCGCTTGTTTTTGGTTGGTTAAGCGGACGCTCGGGTGAAAAAAACTTTCTAGAAATCAACCAATACCATGCTTTGACGTCATACTGCAACTTGATTGGCCAGTCGAAAAATGTCTTCTCCATATTAGGGTTTTCTTTGGCGGGAAAACGCAGCGGCCATGTTCTGATCTTTCCATCCACTGGCTGATAAAACAAATAACGAACACTTACCGAAACCATTTTTCAAGGTCTTACGAAACTCGCTCTATGCTTAAAAAATACCAGTACAGCAAGATCCTCGCGACATGCCGTAAATTGCGGGTCATAAGTCCTTGGCTTTTATATCTTCACAGGGGGGTTTTAGGAGTGCTTATAAACGGAGGGGCTAAAGCCCCGTGCAAACGGACGCAACATTGTTGGATGTTACATGTTGCGTCCGTTTGCTCACCCTGTTGCATGTTGTTGCGAGTTGTTGCGCAAAGTTTGAAACCGGTCAAACTTTTCAGCCAACAACTCCCAACATTTCTTTTGTTCCGTGATCGCCGAAGCGTAGAGCAACAAGACGCTGTGGGAGCGTACATTTGGGCGTGTTTGTTCTTAGCGTATGTGAAGTTTGTTATGTGTATGAGGGATATGTGGGTAGTGCAGTGGTATTGTGTATTTGAGGGGTAAGTTGAGATGTGTGAAGTAGTAGGCATGGAGTTATATTGGAAATTGATGGTGGGCCTAGTTTGTGAGGTAGTTACTGGGTTTCTACGAGGTTGTTTTTATTGGATGTTGGTAATAGAGTCAAACTCTGTTAATAGTGGCACTGAGGTGTTGATAGAAAATGTCTGTATTAAGTGACATGTTCTACAAACATACTGTTTTCCATCAAATGAAGACTGCACACTGAAAAAATTTTGACACGAATATTCTCTTTTGTTAAAAATGTGGAAGATCAACTGGCATAATATGTCTTTTCACACCCATCACATTGTACTGTGTATTCCCAATACTAGCAAAGGCAGATAAAGTTCCTGAAGTCCAGAGTCCACATGGATTAATAACAGAGTATCACATTGCATAAACTGCTATAGCACAGCAATGTTTACAACAACATTGGTATAAACTATTAACATTTGATATGCTACTAGATTCAACACTGCTTGAACAAAGATCATCTTCAATGTTGGCAATATGTAGACCTTTAAGCTCATATATATCCTCATTCCTACATGTATATAGACGCTGAAAATATTGTATTAATTTATGCATAGAAGGTATTTCCAACAATACACATGTACCTTGACTATGATTGTTAACAGGATACATCTCTAGCATGAGAATCAACACCAATAATTCCGACAGTTAAAATGAATGAGTTGTAGTTCAGAGCCACCCCTCAATTCTGACATCCCCATGCAAGTTACAAGTATAACTTTCACTGTATTCAAGCTGGAAAAATGGCTCAACACAGTGAACATTTCTGGCAATTCTGTTAAAATTAACGTAGATTGTCTTGCAAGCAATGGCAGACTAGAATATAATTTGCTACCAACAGTCATTATTTGAATCATATCATTGACTGAAGTAATCCTTCTTATCTTACGGTAAATTAAAGCGCACAAACTCATTGCAACACATCTTGTTCCTCATTTTCCCCAAATACTACAACGTTTCCTTGACAGTATGCAGCATGAATCGTTTTTGTAGCATCTACGCCACATGAAGGTCCTGGATTCTTCTCGATATCAGTAGAATGTTTAAATTGGCCAAAATTAGCCCGGTGAATCAAACTCTTGTAAGCGCTATAAAATGGATAGTTGCATGTACAGAGGGACAAAGACTTACTTAAAACCCTATTTTGATACCTCGACACCCCACCTAAATAGCCTCTTCTTTTATGCTTAGACGACAGATAAAACTTCCGTTGTTTTTGAACTTGCTCTTAGTAAAAAATCGAAAAAACGTACCTCACACTCTTACAAGCTCTTACAGTTACTCCTGTCCCGGTTTAAGTATAAAACATTTCTATTTTTAACGTAACAATGAATTTTAGACGACAATGGTGTATTTTTCAGAATTCTCACTTTCCGTGTTTACTTTGACAAATATTTTCAATTTCTTCATCGGTAGTCTGCTAGGTGCACGACCGCGTCGAGAAAAATGACTAACCTTATTTAATTCAACTGGATTGTAAGTTCTGTTATCAGTAAATTTCCCACGACGAGATCTCAATTTAACTTCTTTTATTTCCTCCACAAGACAATTTTCCTTCAGTACAATTGACTCATTACCTTTTCTTGTCGTCATCTCACTGACATCAAAACTTGCTGACAATGCAAAATCCCAACGCCGAGCATCGTACAGGTACCGCATAACAATATACACAATTACATGAAAAACACAACGCGCAACACAAAAAAAGTACATCAACAGTCACTCTGCTAAACAAAGTTGAAAGAATAAGAAGAATTGTTACCGTTATCACAGTAGTTCCCAAAGAAACCTGAGTCTCCTTTGGTTTCAATTGTTGACAATCTTCTCTTCCTTCATCGGAAGAGATTTTTATCACAGGCAACTCCTTGTGTTCCGCATTATGAAACGCAAAATCACTTTTGTCACACTGATTACCAGCTACACAAATCTTGCGACTCTCAAACTTGATACACATTCTTCTGTTCAAACTCTTATCGATTTTACACGTACACTCTTAACATTCCGATTCGTTATTGCGTCTATGAGGTCCTTGGTCTTTAAATGTCTTGACAATTTCCTTTGTTTTTCTTTGAGTTCGCGGACCAGCCATTATGAAAACACTCAGTGTTATTTCAGTGTGGGCCTACCACGAACAGTGTGTGCATTTGTAAGTTTAACCCTCGACAACATACTTCAACAATACGTTCCTCGAAACACCGTCGCCATACGTTCAAAATCATTGGACCTGACTACCATCCCTGAAGCGCGACGAATTCTGCTCGTAGTTTCACATTTCAACCTGTCAGTTTTGGCCACTGAACCGTTGTCGGTTAGTCTCTGTCGTGAAATTGACAACGTTTTCACGTTTTTCGTGGGAGCGTATTCTATTTTTAAACTCTCCCTGTGTCAATATGGTGATGCAAATTCAAGTTCAAATTGGAGATACTAGAAGAGTGTTTTTTTAATGAAACCACCAGGGAGTGTTGAGGATTTAAAAAAAACTACAGTTTGCGTGAAATTCCGAAGACAGGTTTTATGGATTTTGGTTTACTTTACGAAAACGATGTAGGAGAATATGTAGTGTTGAATGATGTTCGCATTGCAGACATTCGCCTCGCTTCGCTTGTTTACTTGTTTGTTCACGTTAGCACGAACTGCGTGCCTATTGCACATTTGCGTCAAAACAAGCCGTTTCCATTACTCTATTTGGGCCACGCCCAAATAACAATGTCGGATCCGTTTGCACAGCTCTTCCAACATTGTTGGGGCTACGCACGCTCATTATGCCTGGTTTACAAAGACTTATGGGTTGTATCCTTCCCACGATGCACTGCACGTCCCAACATTGTTGGGAGTTGTTGCATCCGTTTGCACACCGCTGCCAACACGCACGCAACAACTCCCCACATTGTTGGCGCAACAATGTTGGGAGTTGTTGAGTTCGTTTGCACGCAGCCTAATATCCGAGGGAGCTTATTACTGGAATAGAAGAAGCGCTTCGAAACAAGCTACAGCAGTGGTGACCAACATAAGTTTTGCATTTGCTGGTTTTTAATTAAGCTTCAAAAATGTCAAAATATATTGCATTTATTTCAATACACTTGAAGGGGACCTTACATACGATGGGTTTATAGATCACGGCCCAGTTGTTCCAAGGCCGATTAACGCTTAACGCGGGGTAAAATTTAACCCGGGTTTCTTTTTCTTTTGATCAAAAGTATGTTCACGGATAATTTTCTCTGTTATTTTTAGACCTTCCAATCATCAACTTGTAGACAAAAAGAATTAAAACTGAAATGCTTTTTAAGCTTTCAAATCTGAATTCAAATCTCGTACTAACCCTGGGTTATCTTAACCCAGCTTTGAACAACTCGGCCCAGATCTATTTTTATATATCAGGTCTATGTTTTGTTTAAAGGTAGATTGGCCTATAACTAAGGAAAGGGGGGGGTATAAGCTGCAATGTGTGGTAGCCCCTTTAACTACATGCTAACTCTTCTCTACGGTGCTTAGCCTGCGAGCAAGCTCTCCGGGGGCGCCTTTGCGGCACAAGGGTAATGACGTCATTACTAATGTCATTTCCGCCAATCAGCATTTCGCATCGACTTTTTCGATGCAAATATTCAAACTCCAGAGACGTACTTGCAAGCTCTCCATCCTTTTTCCGCCCCGCCGCAAGAGCGCCCCGGAGATCTTGCTCGCAGGCTATACGGTGTTACTGATCTACAATGGCCGCTTTGTGGTTTCAACTTACAGAAGTTCTATAAGGCCCATAGATGGTGACCTCAGGAGCAGACCATTTTGGATCATCAATGATGGCAATATAGATTGAGGCTTCCTCTCTCTCTATTACATTGTCTGCGGTCACTGAGATCAAATAACGTCCATTTCTACGAAAAAAAAGGAAGAACAAGGCAACAGAGGCACTTCCCATTTACACAAACCACCCGGGTGGAAATCTTGTGCATAAAGAGGGGTATAATGCTTCAAACTCTCAAAAGCCTCATAACTGAAGTACGGGGTAGAACCGGGGGTGCACACCATTTACACAAACCACCTGGGTGGAAATCTTGTGCATAAAGAAGGGGTATAATGCTTCAAACCTGCAAAAGCCTCATAACTAAAGTACGGGGTAGAACCGGGGGTGCTCACCATTTACACAAACCACCTGGGTGGAAATCTTGTGCACAAAAAGGGGTATAATGCTTCAAACCTGCAAAAGCCTCATAACTAAAGTACGTGGTAGAACCGTTGGTGCTCACCATTTACACAAACCACCCGGGAGGAAATCTTGTGCATAAAAAGGGGTATAATGCTTCAAAGCCGCAAAAGCCTCATAACTGAAGTACGGGGTAGAACCGGGGGGGGCTCACCATTTACACAAACCACCCGGGAGGAAATCTTGTGCATAAAAAGGGGTATAATGCTTCAAAGCCGCAAAAGCCTCATAACTGAAGTACGGGGTAGAACCGGGGGTGCTCACTATTTACACAAACCACCCGGGAGGAAATCTTGTGCATAAAAAGGGGTATAATGCTTCAAACCACAAAAGCCTCATAACTGAAGTACGGGGTAGAACCGGGGGTGCTCAACATTTACACAAACCACCCGGATGGAAATCTTGTGCATAAATATAAAAGTATAAAATTTGACGAGATGGAAGAACGACCTGCTACAACGTATGTCCAAAACAGCAGAACAGACTAGAAAGAGTTGAAAAATTGCATCGCCGCAAATCACAGCCCATAGTTTCTGACGCTTCCCATATACACTTTCAAAACGGAAAGGCGCGAGCCATTTCATTTTCCAACCGGGTTTTCCCATGTATTTGGAAAATACCGTAAGATTCCGAAAATAAGCCCCTCCTTGTATAAGCCCCCCCCAAACTCGTAACGCAAAAAACCCTCCGTTACGTCGCCCCTCCGAATAAAAGCCCCCTGGGGAGCTTGTACTTGGAAATGGCCCTCAAATACAAAGTAAAACAAAGCAAAAACGGTAAATTTCCTTGCAACTATAAGCCAGACCAATCGATTTTAAAACGCAAATTCCCCTCCGAAGATAAGCCCCTCCGAATATAAGCCCCACCAAAAGTAAGCCCCCCAAAAAGGGCCTTTGAAAAATATAAGCCCCGGGGCTTATTTTCGGAATTTTACGGTACCTCTGATTTGTTGTTACCTCTACTCGGAAAAGACCCCCGTGGTTTGATTCTTGTAAGCAACCACTTAATCTTCGCATTTTGGGTGGTCGTTTATGGGAGGTATGACTGTATTACACTGAAACCACCGCCCGCCAAAGCCTCTGAGAAGGGCCCCACATTATTACAGTATGTTCAAACAAAACAAGAATTGTGATAAACGCTGCAAACAGAATTTGGTACTTTCTATATGTCACAAGTGAAAAGGCACGATACATCTCTATCTATTTTAAAAGGGATTTACATGGAGTCACTGGAGCATAAAAATGCTTATATCTCCCCGCCAATGTGCAATAACAGGCTCATTTTTGGCAATTGTTGGTAATTTCACAAATTTAGTCTTGGTGACATCATCACTTCTCATCTCTATTGTTTCCAGGGTTCATAAACAACTTACTTTGTATAGTTGTAGTAGACATCACGTGATGTTGTATTGAAGATGCTTGTCGGAGAACCATCGCCAAAGTTCCAATAAAACGTCACATTTGTTCCTGACTCTAGATCGGCTCTCAGATGCGTCTCTGTGCCTCTCAGTCCTACTCCTCTTTCATGATGAATTCTAAGCTAAAATGGAAAATGTCAAAGCAATAAGATGAGAAAGAATCATGTCAGGATAATAGTGAACGTACGCAACAGGACGGGAGAGGAAAGAAGACGGCAAACCTTCTCTGACAAGCGTGACACTCATTTTGTTTCAATATACTTTTCGCCAAACTTCACCTTCCTTTAAACAGGTGTATTTGTAAAAGACCAGAAAAAATAATGTTGAGTGAAGATCACGACAAAACACCCAAGTAACAGCCCTGTCACGTTTGTCACGCACGCCATCCTCTTCGTTCTGCTGTTCCGTTGCGCAAACTCACCAATAGGGGGCTTAAAAACAACGAAAACGGCAACGGCTAAACAAAAAGGCATAAGATTATCAAACCAAAACTTCATTGCACTTACATCACACCCTTTTTGTACATTTCTTCGCGGTCGTTGGACGACCACGACGTTAAACTACCTAATTTCACGTTTTGCTGAGGATGTGAACACATTAGACCAGGACGTTTTAATTTTAACTCGGATGCTGTCTCAGAATTCAACTCCAGAAAACTGGATTCACCACCATTTGACATATTGAACGACATGGATTATGAGCGATGAATTTTGAAACAGCTTGAATTCACTATTTCAGAGACCTTTTCACCGCAGTGGTCGTCAAGTTGCTAAAGCTCCCGGATCATGTCACGCTTCAATACTTCACAGACTTTGTTACTTCTGAATTAGCCATTTCGGAGTTGCGTAGGGAACTGGGGCGATATATAAGGTCATGTTGAGATTGGTCATTGGACGCTGTCACAAAATCGTGACCGTAGAAATCGCTCCACAAAATGTTGGTCAAATTTAATGCTAAAATGATAGGCTAACACATTTGTGAACGTAAACGCACAAATAGCGGAAGAGAGCTGACAAACTACCTCTTAACTCAGTGAAACGTTGTTCTTACCCAAAGCATTGTTGGAAGAAAATGAGTAATCGGACAACTACGGCGAACACAGTTAGCGCTTTAATACAACCAACTTCTGCTAAATGCGCGTTGAAATTAAATATATTCTATTTATCCAACTAACTCTGCATTTGTCCGTTCATTTTCGACAAAAATATTAAGAAAACAAAACACAGCATCAGCAGAACCGCTTGGCAGTTTTTAGCTTCAAAGGTTCTCGTTCTGAGATGAAATAAGTCCGCTAGTTCGAGAACACCTCGCCATCCAATTTTCAACTGCAATGAAAACCCTCTCGCACGATAATATATTCAAGATTTCTGCATGCTCACGAGCAGTATGTCACTTGGGGATAATAGTTATTATTTACATAAGCGAACACCAGTAAAATTCCGCGACTTTACGGAGCTAAATCTTCGTCAGTTTTTTTTAATTGAGCTATTTTGAAAAAATAGCTCATATGTCAGTGGTGTGAGCATATGTATCTTTGTGGCTTTGTATCTTTGTATGTTGGGATGTTTGTTGCAGGAGCCAATAAAGTTGAAGGTACTATGAGTTGATGCTTAGGAACCAATGAGATCTCGGCATCTATTTAAACATGGCATTGGTAAAGGTCGAACAAGGGCACTTTGAGACCGCCATCTTGATTCTTCACAATTTTTTCGTCTTTTGTTACGGCTGCAGGTGTTTGGAAGAATTACATTAAATATCTTCATGATCCAAACGCTGTGTACAGTGATGCAGCTGTTTAAGGGTTCATATTTTAGTATGGATGCTGCTTCAAGGCATTTCTGACCTAATTCGGCTATCGGTACAAGGTACGTCAGTGTGAGTTCTGTTTCACCTGCTACAACTGGGTAGAGTATAAAAGATCATATATTTTCAGAGCATTTCCAATGAAGCAATAATTGATATTTAGATATAGACTTTAATTCGAAAGTATGCGCCCTATAAAATGTGGTTTTAGAAGTTTAAAAAGGCAGCTTATTTTTGTGAAAGCTGTACCGAGTATTGTTAATCCTGTAAACAAGCTTTAAAAATATTATTCTCCCGCTTACAAAGTTCAACAGACCTTTTCCGTTCTGGCAAAACAAAAAAAAAAAGAATAACGAACGTATTTTATTTAGTAAAGATGTGTAACTTAAGTAGAAACAGTAGCGTTAGGGAATAAAATTAGAGGAAGCTAGTTGACACAATAATCAGATACTGTTATATTGAGTGGAGTAACATGATACAAGTAGAAACATATTTCGGCAGTTTGATAATTTTCTTGGAAGTTAATAAATGTTAGGTTACCAACCTTGACGTTGCGTGAAACATAATTTAATTGCAGATGTTGTAATGAAGCCGAGGTAATTTCTTAAAATCGCTTGAGAAAATTTTGTACTAAACAATTTGCCTTTTTTTACGTACGAATTGTGAAAGGACCAAAGACCAACATCTTCACGTTCAATTGTGTGCAAGAGTTATTTTTATAATTCTGTTTACTAGTTTACTGTGTGATAACTTGAATTCCCTCACGTACGAACCACGAAAGGGGGCAAAGTCCAACACTTTCACGTGCCAGCTGTGTGACTGTACATCTAATGCAGATTGGCTTTTCACAATGATAAATAGTAACTTGGACGTATGAAGACCTGTTTCGTTTTGTAACCAATGCCTTAAAAAAGGCTCATGTCTTTTAAGAAGCAAGAGCTTTTAAAACATGAAGAAATAAGTTGTCGGAGTTAAAGACTGTTTCACTGAGTAGAATCGCACGTGAAAATCTCGTGAATTATGATGATGCAACCATCTACCTCAATGACAAAAACCTGGTATTTCGTAACGATTCAGTATTCGATGCTTAAGAAACTCCGAGGAAACCTTAGAGTTTTCCTTCTAATCAACGTTTGGTGAGTAGGAATTTATTTTACTTTAACAATTTGTTTAACTTGCACCAGATGTAACAGGGAAAGACAGAGGAAAGTGAATATATAGGTTGAGGATCGACTCAGCTGAGCGTTTTGCGTTTTCATTTATGTTGCGCAATACCCAATGTCGCACAAAAACCAAATCTGAATCGGATGAAAAAGGTAGATTCATCACTCTTGGTAAGGTTACACCGAAGTAGTATAGTTACACTGAAGCATTCAAAATAGCTCATGCACGTTGACCGTGCCTATGTTTTATCATAACCAGCTACTGTTGACCAAATTTGGAAGAATTTTGCAATATTGAACTGATGACGTCAAAAATGCAGCAATGTTGCAGATTTATTGAACCGTTAACCGAGAAGACCTGGGGATGAGGTTGTGTTATTTTGGTAGTGATACCAAAATGGCGGAAAGTTTCACTGGTTTCACGAGGAACTGTTGGCTAAAAACATAGCAAGAACAGAAAGACAATTCGAAGGACGACATCTGAGAAGAGAGAAGAGAGAATATTTGCGGCGCTGAACTACCCTTTTTCACCTAAACTTGCCGATTAACGTGCACTATCGATGATAAACTTAACTTCGATGAAGGTGAGTATGTTTTAGCTTGTTTTTAAAACTAGGAATTATTTTGAATGAATAATAAAACAATTATTGACTTCAGCTTTCGTATCATCTGAAGAATTATGGAGATCTCGGAGGGTGTTATCCGCCTCGGCCGCGATCTCCATAATTCTTCGGATGATACTCAGCTTCATTCAATAACTGTTGATTAAAAAAAGATTAATATAGAGGGTTGGTTGGGAAGTTTTAGGAAGGGTAGACAACATAATTATTATTAGTGAGGTTCGTAATACACCAATTATAGGGAACTTATACAACGACGACGGCGACGACAACGAGAACGTCAAAAAAGCAATAGGTTTAGATTGGCAAAACAACAACTTTGCACGTGCATCACGCTTTTTTGTACATTTTTTTGCCGTCGCTGCACGACTACGACGTAAAAGTGTCTAGTTTCACATTTTGTGGAGGACGTAAACACAGGACAACGACTTTCTTTTTCTGAAATTCGATCCAGTCTTTTTGAATTCAACTCTAGAAAAAAAATTGCCAAAATGTGACGAATTGAACGAGATAGAATAAGCGCGAAAAAGTTGGAAGCAGCGCGAATTCACTTTTCAAGTGACGTTTTCTTAGCCGTCCTCGTTTAAACTCCCAGACCTAACTAGAACGTCAAAAAAGCAGTAGGTTTAGATTGGCAAAACAACACGTGCATCACGCTTTTTTGTACATTTCTTTGCCGTCACTGCACGACTAGGACATGAAAACGCCTACTTTTACGTTTTATTGAGGACGTAAACAAGCGTCGACGGATTTTTCTTTCTCTTTCTAAACTTGAGAGTGGTCCCCAAGAAACCATCTCCAGGGAAATTCGCCTACATTTGACATTTTCGGCGCATTGGAATAAACGCGTCAAAGTTTGAAAAAACGCGAATTCATTTTAAAAGTGGCGTTTTCGCTGCCGTCCCCGTCGTCGATGCTTAAGCTCCTTATTCTTACCCCAGAGACGGGTCGCCTTACGTCGAATGCAATCTCAGTGGAGTTCACTCTACTGACTTTGTTATATGCTTGGACATACACAACAACCCTTCAAAGAAAAAAGAAAAATAGAAACAGGCAATATGTCATCATATACCAATGATTTAAGATCAAAACAGGATGCCTGTGGATAACAGGCCCGAGGTTTATTTGTCGTTCCTTATTCCTGAAACTAAGGAATTAACGTGAAAAGACAGTGACTGCACATGTGGATCAAAAGCTTTTTTCACTCACACTTTATATACATCAAAGATCTACGAAGCGATCGTTGGGATCGCTAAGGTACATGTAGACTTCAGGTTTGATGTACAGTCCTTCAGTATCTCGAATTTGATTACCGAGATCGCTCGACCTTTTTTTAGCAACCGCCACAATAGAATCCAAGCTTAACTAAAAAATATCTTTGATAAGCCGTGTTGTAGAGTGCTGTTTGTCATCGGGCGAATCGACTTACGTCCGGGCAAAACAACCACAATTCATGCCTCCATAGTTTTCACTCCACACATTGTAGGAATGAGTGTATTAATGAAAAAGAAAGCATCTGTTTCAATTTTTAAGTTTGTCCATCCGTGCCTCCTCTCTTTTGCTGTTATATTTATTCCTTCTATTCGCGGTTTGAGCAGTTGTTTTTTTTTTTAAATTCATGTGTCACTCGGTTCGGTGGCAGTTCCCATAGCCTTTTAGTCTAGTCACGCAGCGCTCCTCCCCTCCCTCTTCTCCCGGGAAGGAGCGTTGCGTGACGAGACAAAAACGGCTGCGAGGGAGACGCAGGTCACGTGTCTAGTCACGCGTCTAATGACACAGCACTCCTTCCCTCCCTCTTCTCCTGGGAAGGAGCGTTGCGTGACGAGACAAAAACGGCTGCCAGGGAGACGCAGGTTTCACTGTTTGCACTTCGATAAATTTCGTTACACAGTTCCTTTAACATTTCAGCCTATATAAAGTAAAATAAAAATGCTCAAGGTTGCTTTTACTAAAAGACTTCGTGACCCACAGGAGCACCATCCGAACTGTTCGAGGCATCGCGATGTCACGCGCGACATGTGATCCCATACATTCACTGCATTTCGTAACGCAAGCTCCCGGCTTGATTCAGGTGATCGGTAGAAATGCCTCATAAAAACAGAATTTTGCACCTTTTCATTCCAAATGTTGTTATAATGAAAGAAAAATGAATAAAGATAACTCACCATATGTTTTTAACTGAAAATGTCACAAAAACGCAGAGCACGCCACTAAAAACATACGGTAAGTTATCTTTATCCCTTTTTCTTACATTATATCAACATTTGGGATCGAAAGGTAAACAAGTCTGTGTTTTATGATCACTTAAATAAAGCCGAGAGCGAGCGTTAGGAAATACAGTAAATAAACAATTATTGGATGACGTTTCGTGATATCCGGAATGATCACGGTCGAAGTAAGTGTGATCAGCAGAGCCGAAGACCGACTTTGATAACACACTTACCGAGACCTTGATTATTCAGGATATCACAAAAACCGAATCTAATAACTGTTTTATTATACATTGTTTTGAAATAGATAACGACAAAATTAATGGAACTGATAGTGTGACATTACTCTCGGAAATCATGCATTGCGCGCACAACGTACAGATTAGTCAGTTATCCGCTAGCAGATAACTAACTAATCTGTAGGTTGCGCTGATTTCCAAAATTAACTGTTGGATCTTAGCCAATGAGAAGATAGATAGTAAGTACAATGAAAAAAAATTCACAATTAAAAACTACTCCACTATTTAAAATCTACTTAAAACAAGTAAAAAATTTGTTTTTAAAAAATCTGTTTGGGGACTGATTATAAAAAGCTATATAACTATTTTTAAATAGTTATATATTGAATATCTTTTAAAAAAGATATTCAATATTTCTATCTAGTAACTAAATTGGTATACAATTTATTTTCAAAGGATTTAACAGTTTTACTTTTCTTTACGTCAGCGGAAAGTTCGTTCCAATCCCTAATTGTCCTCACGTTAAAAGTCGGGCCTCCTTCTGTGTTTTTCTTAACAATGGAACATTGAAAACTAAAATTCGAAAAGCGGGTGGATCCACTCTCATCGTTGGTACCCTTTTTTGAACAAAAAAATTCAAGGACTTTTCAAGGACTTTTAAGGACACATTTCCCATTTTTCCAGGATTCCATTCAGTGTAAAAACGAGCCTTGAGGTCTATGTCTTTTTTTAGTTCTTCCCGGCACAATATGAGAAATTTTATCCAGAAGGTCTTTCTGTGTTTGCTCCTTTTCCTTTGCAGTTCTACTTAAACTATAAATTTAGCATTGAAGTTCAAGGACTTTCCAGCACCGACTGCAATTTTCAAGGACTTTAAAGGCTTTGAATTTTAAATTTTAAAATTCAAGGCCTTTCAAAGTGCGTGCGAACCCTGACTCTGTATTCAGGAGAGCTGGCATACACGTCAGTTCATGAGACCGGGCCATTGGGTACTCACCATCCTGGCTGACGGAAACTTAGGGGAAATTTCCCTGTCCTTCCTTTGACTGGAGAACGTTTGTCACTTCTGTAAAGCATGAAGGAAACCGGTTTGTGCATATCTGATTCTTCTTTGAGTTCTGCGGATAACTGGATTAGCTCGGTATGTGCTGTGCTTAGAAGTGAATAGGATTTCTCTAGCTTTATGACAACACCTGCAGAAGGATAAGATGGACAAAGAGAATCATGTACTTGACTAGTTCAATAATGTAAATACAGTCGAACCTCCATGCGCGACCGCCTTTCGTGAGCGATCACCTCCCATATGTAATCACAGATGCAAACATGACCAAATTAATAATAGAATAATAGAACTAGTAATAACCAAAGGTTACGGAGTGCGGGCGACAACGATCGAAGGCCAAAACGCTTTTGCTCCATCTCTGTGCTTTCCGTAAGTTTCACTGGTGACAGATAGTCAAATCACGCGTGATCATATTGACCACTCTAGAAAATACCATAACATACCATGATGCTTTTTGTTTGTCACCCCAAAATTTTGCATAAGCATTGTCTTCATTTTCTCTTGGGAGATAAAATGGCCCCAAGAGAAACTGAAAACAATACTTATACAAACTTTTGGGGTGACAAACAAAGAGCATTATGGTATGTTATGGTATTTTCTGGAGTGGTCAATTACGAGTGAAAGAGGGTCCAAACGCTCATGATAAAATTGCGTTCTTTGCATTCCATTCATTCTTAGTGGAAGTCCAAACGAAATGCTGGCTACATACATGCGAAAATCAACAAACCAAAAATCCCATGCCGAATTTCCGAGCCCTAAAATTTTCCAAAAACATTAAATGATATAACACGAAAAATAAATTAAAAATTGAATCTTTGTGTTTGGAGCTGGGATACGCGGCCACTACCAGGAATCTTCAGATTGTTTTAAATACCCAAACAAATCCCTACTTAAATCAAGCCACCCCAAAAAAATACTTGCCAAATTTTCCTAGCCGAAAATATCCCGAAATCGATCATCCCCGTCACTTGAAATCTGGAAACACGTCATTTTTTGAGAGGCTGTCGTGCATATTGCACGAGTTGGCGAAAGGTTACTAAGGTTACAAATCCAATTTCGGATTTCACGTTCCTTTCGACCGAGAAATCTGGCAAATCTAGGATCAAAATTCCGTTTTTGGATTCGCCGAAAGGAACACACTCAGAGTTTCATCCCCAGATGAAACACCTCGAAGTTTGTCAAAATACTCCGCTGAGAAGGAAGGAAAATCTGTTAAAAATAATTGGAATTCACGGGTTTGGCTTATAGCCAAGAGTTTGACATTATGTTTGCCCTCACTTGTCGGAAACCAAAGAAGATGTCACGCAAATTTCCGTGATCGTGCATGAGATAAATAAGGAATTGCTTCAATGAGGGGAATGACATGCGATGAGTGGCAACATACGAAGTAGACGGCAGTTTGATTACTTCATTGAACTAACTTATGTTAGCCTATTAATCTTGAATGAGCATAACTTCATTACAGATGTTCGGAAAGGAGGTGATTTCTTAAAATCTTATTGAGCAAAATGATCTCGTAAACAAGAAAAGGTCGTCTCCGTGAAATTCTTTCACGTTCGAGCCGTAAAAATGGCAAAGTCCAACATCTTCACCTGCAAACTCCATGTGTGATAGTTCTTTTTAAAACCCTTGGGTTAATTAGATTAAGTCGTATCTTCTCAAACACGAACCACGAGAGCGCCAAATTCCAAAGCTTTCACGTGCAAACTGCGTGACAATACAACTCACATTAAGGGCCTGATTACATGAGCCGGGCTGTAGGGCTGGCTAGGTCTGCCGTTGCGTCTAAAACTAAGGTGCCACGATGTCTGCAAAGCAAGCCGGCCCGAACAGATTTTACGCCCTCCCCATTGACCTCACCAATTTTTCAAAGCCCCTCGAGCCCACACACCCCAGCCAAACATCTTCATACTCCCTTCTCCACATTTATAAATGTTTAATGAGTGTCTTTACATATGATGTTTCATTAAAGAGTTGATTTACATGAGAAAGACTGTTAATGGTCGCTGAGTGTTCACTTGGGAGAGCTTAAAAACAAACGAAAAGTCCAGTTGCGTAATCCCAAAAGTGGTCGCCGAGGTCGCTGACGGGAGCGGTCGATTACGAGAGCTTTTCATTACAAAGGTTTAAGTCACAGTTCAAACGGGGTTTCACAAATGTTGTCTTATTAAACTGGAGCTGGTCGCTTACGAGAGAGGTCGCAAGGAGAGCTTCGACCGTACAATTGTACACATAAAAGACATCACATTCGCCTAGTACAACGACGCCCAAATAAACGCTTCCACAGCGTCTTGTTTAAGTTAGCGAAACGTTTGAGAGGCCCTTAAGGGCGAAGTGTCTTAACGAATTTAGTTGTCGATTCTAGGTAACTCAGAAATTGCATGCAATAAATTCTCTCCCAAAAAGTCACTGTGTTGGAACCCCATGGAAAACGAGTATCACCGCTGGACACCAGACATGATGATGCAAAGAAAACCAGCTTTACAGCTTGCCTGAGCGTGTACTTGCCCGAAAATCATTAATTTTTTTGACTAACTCCAAAAAATAATAGGCCCTTTCTGAGTCGCCCTAAGCCTCTGTTTCAAAGCGAGGCTACGCGTGAAGCTTTTGATATGAAAATAAGTTTTTATTCTCCTTCAGATAAAAATCATTTTCACAAGATTAGAGAAGGTTTTGCACTTAGCCTCGTTTAGAAAGTGAGAGTTTTTGCAACTCGGAAACGGCCTATTTTTGACGAGCAGGATTAACATTTACTTAACGACTATTTATTAATAATATTAATTAAACTATTAAATGATTAATCGCTTTGTCACTTGGGTTATTAATTCGCTGTAGCTACCATAAAAGCTTTAGGAGCTTTTAGAGCCTGACGGGTATTTTTCATTGTTTTTACCCGAAGATTGTGAAGATCACACAACGACTAGTCTGACATGAAATGTAGTGTTATACCAGTCTGATACTTGTTTTTATAGGATGAGCTTAGAAAAGAAAGGGCCTTCAGTAGCGATGGTCGGAAACACCTCCTCCTTGCAAATTAAGGTTTGGAGGCCTCACTGGAAAACAATTATTTTACTCCTCATCGCAATATCTTTTTAAACCCTTACAGCCGAAAGATTCTTTTGGAACTGTGCTTGCAGATATCTGTCATCACGTTGGGTTGGTTTTGTGCATGGTGCAGGAGTTTACTCAGATTGTGTTTGCAGCCCCCGTGGTCGCAATTGCCAGTCTTCGTCATTTTTTCAAGATTGATTAGTTAAGCCACAAATTTAGAACAGTGAGTAGTAAAAAGTTCAAATACACTTTCAACCCCTTATGTCTCCCCCTTTTCAATGAGTCACATTATTTTAACTGTTCAGATTAGGACTGGAAAAAATAATATGGCCTTGACTGACATGTAGCAATCAACAACACAAGTGCTCAACAGACATAACAAAAAATGTAAACACGTGCTCTCTCTAGAGAGCTATTTTTTAAAATAATTGGGACAATATTATTATACCTGATTACTAAGATCCCCAATCTTACATATGAACTTTTCTCATTTATCACTGACCTTTTAGCTCTTGTTGTATACACACTTTTTGTGTTGCTTCCTCGCTATTAGTCTCACTGGATGCCCTGACTGTCACGTGATAAATTTGCTGAGAGCCAGAAAATACGTGGGACACTGTTGGAACTAAAAACACAAGAATTCTCTTAAAAGCGTTAAGTCGAGCTTCCTTGGAGATAAGATACGAAATGAGGAGGTGATTAATTCTACATCAAACAGGATTTCCTCGCTAAAAGTTTTTCACGTCTTACTTTATCAACGGTCAAGTATTCTTCAGGAATTTTTGCTTTCTTTATCGTATTCAATGATCTGTTTCTGAATCGATTGAGTACGCATGTATAAATACACGAAAATCAAACGTCTGGATTCTAGAGAAATTACATCCATTGCCAAAGAGCAAACACGTGATGAAAATAGCACGTCATTTGAATCATCGCCGAAAATAAACCGCATGCTCATCACAAGACCCATTTTAGCCTGCGAAAACATCTGTTTCTACTCGCTCTTCGCCACTGGGGACGTTTCGCGGGGAGAAACAGATGTTTTCGCAGGCTAGATACATTTGCATACAATGAAAGTTTAAAAGACATGACCAGTTTGCCTCACCATCAACATGTTGCTCATAAAAATTCTTTTTCTCGACCACTTATGGCGTTCCGTTGCGGACAAAATTATACCGATGGTAAAAACATGTTGAAAACATAATACGTAAGTCAAACTTGTAAAATACACCGAATGCAATAAAAAATATGAGTCGAGATTTGTACTGATATATATGTTGAGGAACAAAAAAAAATACTAAGCAAATGTCATGATCTCAAACACGAGTCGAAATTTTGAAATTTGAGTCGAAAAAAAATATGCGAGTCGAGTTCAAAAAAAAAAACTTGAGTCGAGAAAGTGAGAACGCTGACCAGTTGTGTTATCAATCAATGTCTTCACTTCACCGAGAAGAGGCTTTGATCCAAAGTTGTGGTTTGTTGGCTACCAAATATTGCAGATTTTTTCTTCTCCCTTGCTAGACTTATCGAGGACTTAGAAAGGCAGCTTAGTTCAGCTTCATATGACAGTGAGAATTCTTATTTCGGCACTTTGACGAGTACAAAAGGACACTTGCAACTCTGTCGTCAAGATTTTGTGAGACTCACGGTTGTTTAGAAATAGGGAAGTTCACCCTTTCTACGTTAAATCGGACTAGAACCCACCGGTTCAACCATTAGAAGCCCTCGAGAGAGGTTAAATCACAAATGGCAGAGATACAAATAACAAAGCCAAAACACAACCTGTCAGGCAAGGACCGACAAGCATTAAAAGAATTACAGCAAAACACTGGCGCGCGGCATCGACATCATCAAGCGGTCAAGGGAATCACTACAGTAGACATGAACCTGACATGTTTTTAACTCGAACTCCTCGCTAAACTCGAATTAAGTCCCATTCCCCGCTTTTCAGTCATTTTTACTCGGCTAAGTCGAATAACTCCAACTAAATTTCCTTTCCCTTCATCAAAATTTCCCTGAAATTTACCCCCGGCCGATAACTCGAATTCTGGTTCATTTAATTCCACTCGGATGTCATTTCATTAGTTCCTCTTGTTGTAGAATCGGTAAAAAACACTAAAACCAACACAACAGCAATTTAATATTAATTGTTGCAACGAACAGATCACGTTTTTTCATAAAAAGGCATAATCATGTTACCGTTTCTGATGAAATTGGTAAAAAACTGCGCTGTCAGACAGTATACACTGAAGCAATAACTCGGACCCCGCTTTCTAGAACTGTTTTTCGTTAACTAGCGCACAAAGGAATCAAGGAGAATTTCCTCTTTTGTTAACCCACGGTCTCACTCCAGTATAGATGTGAGGCCTGTTAATTACCACCTTTCTGTTGGACAATCACACCCGAAGATTATTGGTCGTAAGTTATAGTTGGTTTGTAAATTTTTGTAATAGTGTATAACTCTGGTATTCTAGGTGGATTGGGTGTTTGAGATTTGCCATTATCTCGTCATTTCATCATTATGTTTTCCGTAATTTATTAGGCGCTTGACCTTGCTTTGCGTTTCTTTCAACATTGGTTTAACGAGAGGTTTGTAGATATGTTCATCGTCGATATTTGTATTTGACCTTCTCTTATTTTGTCAGTTTTGTTCGTGTCTACTGTAGTGATTCCCTTGTCCGCTTGATGTCGATGCCGCGCGCCAGTATTTTGCTGTAATTCTTTTAATGCTTGTCGGTCCTTGCGTGACAGGTTATGTTTTGGCTTTGTTATTTGTATCTGTGCCAGTTGTGATTTAACCTCTCTCGTCCTTTTATACTCGTCAAGGCGCCGAAATAAGAATTCTGAACTGTCATATGAAGCTGAACTAAGCTGCCTTTCCAAATCCTCGATAAGTCTAGCAAGGGAGAAGAAAAACTCTGCAATATGTGGTAGCCAAGAAACCACTACTTTGGATAGAAACCTCGTCTCGGTGAAGTGAAGACATCGATTGATATCACAACTGGTCAGCGTTCTCTCTTTCTCGACTCGAGTATTTTTTTTTTGTTTCAAATCGACTCGCATATTTTTTTCGACTCAAATTTCAAAATTTTGACTCGTGTTTTTTTTTCGTTCGTGAACATATATTTTGCAAATCTCGACTCATGTTTTTTATTGCATTCGATGTACTTTACAAATCTCGAGTTAAGTATTATGTTTTCAACATGTTTTTACTATCGGTATAATTTTGTCCGCAACGGAACGCCATAACCACTCAAGTATTCACTTGTTCCAAAGTAATCAACGCTTTCAAGCGATAGAATTCGTGGACCAGCCCATTCCAGAAAAGCTCAACATTTTTCGCATTAATCTTTCCTAACCATTCTTCATGAAACATGCATGGCGCTCTGATGTGTCACGATTCTTCTTCCCAGTTTCCACGGTTAGGTGCATGACATCATGTCATATCCATGGTTTGTACAACTCTCATCTACCAGAGCTCTCACCGTCAGCGTGTAAGAAATCACTCAGTTATACACACTTACGACGAAAGCATGAAAGCAAGGCCTTTTAGGGCGGCATCACAATTAAATTGTATAAAGTGGTAAGAGCGCACCTTACAATAAAATAGTTCTCCCAAATACTGCACTGCTGCGTCTTGTTATTATTGTTCCGATAATAGGAAAGTCTTGATGTTTCATGTATTTCCGAAGGACTCTTAGCTTGACAAAGGTTAGTTTCTCCACTGTCTACCTTCCAATGCACGTTCATTTACAATATCTGCTCCAGGAATCTCTAAATCACAACTTGTTCCTGTTTTTGCCACCCTATTTATATTTTGCGGGAGATTTGGTGGCCCTTAGGTCTCGCTTTCATGCTTGTCTCATAGGTGTGTATGGCAAAAACAGTTATCTACACAGGGCACAGTAGCCTCCCCGCAGACGTCCTTTGGGGTTCGTTTGTCACGCATTCATTTCTGCGTGACAAACGAACCCCAAAGGACGTCTGCGGGGAGGCTAAGGGCACAGAGGAGTTATTTGTGTCCTTGATTGTTAATTGTAGTTGAATTTTACAGTGGATACCGTGCATCGCCTTTGTTTTTACACTGTTGAATCAAGCAAACAGTCATTTAATCATTCTATAAACATGGTAAAATATTATCCAATGCTTCGGAAAACCACTGAAGGTCATGACTGTGGACTAATAACAGCAGATAAGATATGATAAAGAGACAAGGCTAGTCTCTTTGTCTTCTCAGCACTTTGTGCCTCGCTCGGAAAGCTTCAGTTTCCAAATCGTAGTTACTAAAACATGGAACGACCTAAAACCACCTAAAACCACTTAAAACCATCTACAACCACCTACAACCACCTCAAAAAATTCAACAACCACCTACAACCATCTACAACCACTCGCAAACAATCTAAAACCATCTAAAACAAGGTATAAATGTCTCAAATAAGGCGAGACGACAACATGTCACGTACATGAAATACGAGAATCGAACAAAACATCCACTTCCCCCCAAAATCTTACTCTCCCTGGTCTGGTCCAGCGGTCTGTTGCTTTTGCGTTTCCGGTCTCATTCCGACTTCCGTCACCGAGTGCTCTATTATGTAAACAAATGAAACGTCAACCAAAACGTCTCACTGGTACCCAGGGTAGAAAAAGCCAAATCAAGTCAGTCTTTCGACTACGAGTTTGTTATTTTCTAGTTTTATTATTTTTTGTGACTTGATAGTTTATTTTGTAAGGTTGTTTAAGTCTTTTAATATACTTAGCATATCTCGCATTTCATTTCGTGACTTAAGCCCCCGGAGGGGGGGGGTACTCCCATACATTACCTACACGGGTATGTGCCGCCCAAAGGGGTTGTGATTTTGAAACTCCTGATTTAGAACGGGGTATCCATTTCAGAGGCCTTTACTAGAACGGGGTATAATATTTCGAACGCACGAAAGCTCCACTTTTGTAAGCAGCCGTTTGAAAGTATTCAAGGACAGATTGCTTTCAAAAATACGGTTCAATGCGTTAACAAGCAAACTGTTGTACTCTTGTTGCACCCTAGAACGGAGTATAAAAAATTGGCCCATTTCTAGAATGGGGTATCAGTTTTAGGGCGAATTCTAGAACGGGGTATAAAAAATTGGCCCATTTCTAGAACGGGGTATCAATTTTAGGGGAACTTTTTTCTAGAACGGGGTGCCAATTTGGAGTTCCGGGCGGCACATACCCACCCAAAAAATACCCAAGTGCCCCCGGGCTTAAGCCAATGGTTGATGATACAAGGGACCAGGGAGAATAAGATTTTGGGGGGAAGTGGATGTTTTGTTCGATTCTCGTATTTCATGTACGTGACATGTTGTCATCTCGCCTTATTTGAGACATTTATACCTTGTTTTAGATGGTTTTAGATTGTTTGCGAGTGGTTGTAGATGTTTTTGAGGTGGTTGTAGATGGTTGTAGGTGGTTTTAGCTGGTTTTAGGTGGTTTTAGGTCGTTCCATGTTTTAGTAACTACCCTTTCCAAATACGTCAACCTTGGGGCAACATTCATTCCCACCGAGCTTTAGATAATATTTGACCAGATTTGTAACACGATTGCATGGCGGTTTGATCAGTCAAGTTCGTATTCAATTCTACAATAAACAAAGGCGAATCGTGCTATCAACTGTAAAGTTTTACTGCAATCAAGGTCACCAAAAACTCCTCTGCCCCCCGTGTTATCTATCATTATATGATAGCAGTGCCGTAGCTAGTATGAGGCCAACCGAGGCACTCGCCTCGGTAAAATTTTGACGAATTTCGCCGATCATTTTTATTTTACATAAGCGATCATCGGATATTTTTAACGCATCATGATATTACAAAGAATTAAGCAATTCAGTCAATATACTATGAAAAAATTACCATATCATCGATCTCAATGGGCTACGTACGTTAACTCAAATTTTTTTTGAACAAATACTGATCAAAACCATTAGCGAGGTTAACGGTTACCCAGATTATGTAGCTTGTTTCTGATTATTGCTTTTTAAATTCCACTTAAACTAACTCGAAAAAAAGTTACCGAAAGGCCCAGAAAACGCTGCAAATCGCATTTCCGAGAGACTAAAGTTCAAAATTTCTCGGGGGGGGGGGGGCATGCCCCCGAACCCCCCTAGCAACTCCCGCCTGCCTCGGTTGGCCGTTTGGTCTGGCTACGGTACTGGATAGTGAAAATGCAAACAGAACAAAGACTTTACCCTCACCTTGAGTTGTCACATTGGCAGATGAGCTGCAGTTAAAATCCCATTCATAGGACACAAGGCATCCTTGCCTTATGTTCAAGAATTTTACTCTGGCTGTCAAAGTCGTGGAGACATTTGCCTCAACATTGATGCACGAACGTCCATCTGTTACTATCTCCACTGAGTCTAAATAATGTTTGACATTCACCTGATGGCTGAGAGAAAGCTGGCTCAGAGCATTTGAAGCTGTAACATTGACAGTTACATTTCCGCATTGTGTGAAACCATGAGCCACAGTTACACAAGAAGATCCCAAAGAATCAGAACCCGAGGTTGAGTTTGAAACATTGAAAGAAGGGCCTCCATCTCCAAAGTCAAACCTAAATTTGGGTCTTGATCCACTCAAGATTCGATACTTTAGATGCACAACTAAGGTTGGAAACAACGGTGAGAATAAAGACGCTTTTCTTCCCTGTTCAACTGCAACAAGTTTTAACCCTGTTATTGGAATTCCTGCAAAGACCAGACTACATGTCTTTTGGTATGAGAACAAGTTACTAGCCTCTACACAGATGTAGTGATTACCGGGAACGATTAACGAGAGCTGTACTGTGCTAAAAGTGGTTGTCAAGTTTCCTTCAAGAGCATGCTGTGATGTATTATAAAGCTGACTTCCAGAATACCATTTCACTATAATGATGTCAGCAGTTTGATTAAGTTTTCTGATTTTGTCCAGTCCACTGATCTCATGCATTGGCCTCTTGATTGACAGCCCTGCGATGGCAGTTATTGTAGTATTCACTTTTACTTGTTCAGGTAAGCTGACATTGAGTGATACAACCAAGGGCACAGCCAGTGAGTAGACACTGCTTAAGTTTGTCCCTCCACAGGTAATACCGTCATCATCATCATCATCATCATCATCATCACCATCATCATCACCATCATCACCATCACCATGGCAACTGCATATAATTAAACATACAGCAAAGTGAGAACTCTGACATCTTGAACCACAGGTAGCCCAAGCTCTATGAGTAACACAATCTCCGAGCATTGTGATGACATTTTACATATCACTCATCCACACTGCTAGTGGCCAAAGGACCTTTCAATGTAGAGAGGCCTGACTCTTTGGAATGAGTTGCAGCCTGCACTGAAGCTAAGCAAATCCATGACTGATTTTATGCATTAACTTAGGCAACTGCTTCCGGATAATTATCTCCTTCAGTTAGTTAATTATTTATCACGTTTTTAGCCTCCTGTGTTTTTCAATTTTATTCAAACAATGATGCTGAAAAGCACCATGGGGATGAGCCAATAAAGTATGTATGTATGATTACTAGTTTCTAGCCAGAAAGGAGGACACTGGAAGAGAGGGCCAAGTTGTCTCTCAAGGCCAGGAGTCGATTACCCCTGGAAAGGCAAAATTGGGACGCGTCCCTTCCACTGAAATTTATGAAAGATATCATACTCTGAGGTGTTTGTACATTGCCACAAAATATACAATTGGGTTATTCAAAAAATCCACACCACCCCCCTCCCTGATGGATTGGCACGTTTCTTGACCCACTCCGACCCACACTTCTGGAAACACTAGACCCCTCTCCCACCTGGATTTCCCTTGCAAAAGAGCCCCCCTCCCACCTGAATTTCCAGGTTTTTCCAAGTTATTAGGCTTAAACTTAATTTATATTCAAAAGAATACATGTATCACGTAATCACACCAAAAAGATGTTATTGAGTAATTACTGGGCTGCCTGTGCGGTCCAGTCATAAAATAGGCTTTCGGTCGTCGGTGTCAAAAAGTTGTCTCCCGGGGGAGGGAAGACACGAGGGTCTGGTACCGAGAAACGATGTTCTCACAAATGGTTTCATATGAGTTTCTCTTGCACGGAGCCTTGCACGGATACTTTTTGTACCTTGTCTGCGCTCACCCTGAAAAACCCACAAGGCGTTGCGAACCTGAAGAAGGCTATTTGCGTTGTTCGAAGCGATTCGACCATGGGAGTCACTCCATAATTTTTTTATTGTTCGAGTTTAAGTCAGTCAGATGATGTTGATGTTGGGAAACTCAGAGAAATGCTCGCATTGCATTCAATTCACGGTAGGTTCACACTAAAAGACTGAAAAGATGACTGTGAGCGTCAGGTTTGGAACGCCGTGGCCGCTTCGTGAACTATCGATCGATTGAGGCATGAGCAATTAAGAAGCACAATTTATGAGCAAAGTATTTCACCAGTTGACAACACTATGGCTGAAGACTTGACTGTAAGCCGTCATAGTCAGTGAAGCGAACAACTCAGTTGTCGATGAATGGCAGATGAATCCTGATGTGACGCACGTCCATGAGCGAGTGACGTGACAACTTTGCCATGTTAGAAGACTGGCTTTTCCTTTAAATATTTCTTTCTATTTAATGCAACATACGCCACTTTGGAGGTCTTTGATGTCAGCATTAGCGAGTTCCAGAAACATGCCTTTGAAAATTTTCAGCTCTAGTGATGTTTCTTGATATTTCTTCTATCATTTTATGGAGATGTAAACTGAAGTCACCGCAAAATGGAAACTTAAAAAAGCGTATAATCCATTTATCTCGAAACATAATACACACGACTTGTGTGACCTTTATTTTCCTAAAGGCGTTTTGAATACGAACGAACACAGTCAATGTGAGGGGCAAAAACAGCATTAATATAAATGAACCATAGGATTTTAACTAATATAAGGGTCAATTATTGTGCACTGAGATGAATCGCTCGAAAAGAGAGACTTCGCTTGAAGATGTGATCAGAAGTAAACAAAGGCATAATAGTGCGTCACGTTCAGTCTTTTTAATATCCAAGGAGTCACTGTGAATAGTGTTTCAATATTGTTTAGCTGGCACAAAAACTTCGGACGAGTTATCTTCCATGAAGAAAACTTCGTCTTGGGGTATCAGGTAAAAATATGTTATCGATCGTTTCATCTATTTACATTGTTTGAAGTGCGTGCAGGTGAACGCAACATGCGAGCGAGAAATCTTTAAATTTTTTTAGGTCTCAAAATGCAAAGGATATTATTCATTTAAGTTAGAGAAAAATACCATGAGGAAAATCTTAAAACTGAATATTTTTCATCTTGTGGAAAAAATAGTGCGTTCTCATGTAGACTGTGGGCCGCAAATTAGGATCGCACTTTTCACAAACATGCGAATTCCGAAGTTCAGAACCCAACCGACGATTGCGTTTTTCGCTGCTGTCAATCATCTTAACGGACCTCTTAGGAAACAAAACTTTACTTCACGGGTTCAAAAGGTCATGGTTTGTGATTTGTGGATTTCGATCCGTTTTGTGTGTTTCCCTGTTTCAAGGTTCGTTGCTTATGATCGTAATTATGATTGACGGCAGCGATAAACACGATTGTGAAAGTGGCTTTTGAACTTTAGAGTTCGCATGTTTGTGAAAAGCGCAGTAAAGTCTCCGTGCAGTCAGTGAGGCCCCTGGATCAGGCGGGATCAATGGGCAGTTAACTGTCTGTTTTAGTATACTTCTGGTTTTCATACAATACAATATTTCTGTCTAGTGTAAATCAGCTCAGTCTGTCGCATTTTATGCTCGTAGAAGGACAACAATTTTTGGAATTTCCGGTTACGTCAAATTAGTCACGTTATACTGTCACGCTATATTTTGGGGCACAGAGGGATTGGGGGATGGGCGCGTGGAAATAATGCAAATCGTTTCCTGTTTAGAATTAATGGCTAACTTGTTTATTTTTATTCATAATGGTGGAATTTTAAAGTTATTATACAGCCCCCACTTAAAAATGGTACTCTTTTTTTGGGTTACAAAAGTCGTTCAAAAGGGTACAATGTTCTGAATGAGTTTATGTTTCAGTCTCACATGAGATTCTGTTGCATGCAATGGTTGCCGACAAGGTTTTATGGTAGCCTTCGTGTGTATAGCCGCCCCCTCCTCTCAGAAAAAATAGCCCCTTTGCAGCCCAGTTAAAAATCGCCTTCCGGCGATTCTTGTTTATAAAGCTTTAAGTGGAACTCAATTAAACAAGCCAGAAAATATAAATAAGCGAAAAAGTTTTTTGACTAGAAGCTCATGATCTTTAAAAAAATTGTTTTGACCCTCCTGCCTAGATTTCCATAGCCTCTAGCCACCCCTCACCTTCCTGCCCCATCCAATGAGAATTTCCAGAAAGCGGTACATTGGGGAAGTGTGCATCTTTTATGGATTTTTTTCATAATCAATTGAGGAGATATCACTGGAACTTGTTAGTTTCAATACTCACCCTAAGTTGCATAAACTCTGGTTCACCCTACTGTTTTCTTGTATTTGTGAAAGACAAAAACAATGGTTACCATTCTTAACTGCAGCAAACCTAAACCTGGAATGGAAAATGAACATTTTAGCATTATATATGCAGTTGTGTACAAAGGTGTAAGGGCATTAACAGTGGCAATCTAAGGCAGGCTCGCCCCAGACAGTGCTGGATTCTAAACTCCACGCCATGGATTCCGGATTCCAGCCACTGGATTCCAAATTCTTTGTCAGTGGAACTTGGATTCCGGATTCCTTGAGCAAACTTTCCTGGATTCTGGATTCCACAAGCAGAAATTTCCCAGACTACGCAGGGTTTTCATTAAGAGCCAGGGGCCGGGGATTTTCACCGACTACCAAGAGAGTGGCCCCCAGCTACTTTTATTGGAAAATGGAAGAAAAATAGAACCAAAAGAAATCCGTAGCCGTTTGATTCCCCACCTACTTGTTGTGTTTACCCGGCAACTTGAAATCTTAGCGACAATCCTGCCACGGAATCCAGACTCCCTATTCCCTTACATCAAGGTTTCAGCCAGAAGGGTGTCCTGCCATCCTATGGACACCCATTTTTGGAAGAAATACAAGGAAAATTCACTTAATCTCTTAAAATTTTATGAGAAAACATGCCTTCTGGACAGACAGTTTTCAATGTCTGGCTAGAAGCCTGTTGTATATGAGGTGAGTATATCATAAGGATCTGACATGCACGACCAAACAATTATTGTTCATTTAAGGAGCTCTGATCCATCAACCAGTTAACGCGATATTTCATCTGATATCCAGAGCAGAAAAAAAAGGCAGGTCTCCACTTTATCACATGATAAAAGCAGGGCACATAAACATCAAAGTGAAAAACAAGGTAAAGTGCACGGGAGTAAGAGCAGAAAAAGCCCTCCATAAATGGCTAGCAGGGTGCAAAGAAAATCATTTTTACAGCTTGCCATTCGGGCAAGCTGAAGCAAGCATTTACATGTACTAGCCTAAACGTCATTTCAACTAGCCCCAAAAGCTTGTTGACTAGCAGAATTGATTTCACAGTTCTTCTTCAATTTGAATTCCTCAAAAAACATCACTTGCCCGTTGGGCAAGTTAAGAACAGAATTCACTAACCCTAAAGCAAAATCCACTGGCCCCAGGCTATCGGACACTACTTTCTTTGCATGTTGGCTAGTCAACTTGCTTTGGGCGTTATCAGTAATATCTAAGATTAAACATTTATCAAGGGTAATAATTTTGCCACAATTTTTGGTGGATAATCAATGAATAATTAAGCACAATAATTAAAGAAATAATTTCTTAACCAAAAATCAATCGATCACTAAGTTATACTGTCACCGCCTCTTTTTTTATATCAATAAAGTTTAACCGGTCATTGGTGAATAATAGACAGACACTATTTTGGGGACGCATGCCCTCAGACCTATGTAATAACGATTAAAATCCCTGCACAGCATTGTTACAAGTGTACTAAATTAATGTTCATTTGAAAATTGTTAAGTTGACGCTGTTACAAGATTTTTATCCCACGTTTCGGCAATGCTGCCTTCTGCAGGGTACAAAACTATGCACCTCCAAATCACCCTACAAGTCTGCTATGTCAAGACTAATCATAACTATAAGAAAATTCTCAAATCTGATTGGCTATCAACTGGCAGTCCTGATTTCAGCATTAATAGGACAGTGAAATAGGACAGTATACATCATGTCTAAGTAATTGCACAGTACATTCCATCACGCACGTGCACTTGAATCATGTTTTTTTGTTACTGCCAACTCTTGGAATATCTTGTGTTTTGATTTAAAAAAAGCTTGAAACATCATTGCCAGAGAGAACAGCCAACATTTCACGACGCCACTACTGGTTTCCCCACGAAATGACGTCTTAGAAACAAGCACAGAAATTCCATACTGATGACCCATCAATACCCAGATCTGGGTAGTGCCTCTGATTGGTTGAAACAAATTTTTCAGCCCATCAGAAGCACTACCCAGATCTGGTCAGTAATGCATCATCAGTATGGAATTTCTGCGTGCGTTGCCCAGATGTAATTTCGCAGGGAAACCAGTGGTGGCGTCGAGAAATGTCGGCCGTTTTCTCAGGCTACGGAAAAATCACAAATTTTGTTATTGTATTGCCCAATTCAGTCTGTAATCATGCTTGTAATTAAACAAATCAGACTCCTGCTATGCTGTTGTCCAATTTTGTTAATCACTTGTATGATTAGTAATGGTAACAAGACTGAGTGGAGTCCAATTTGGTCTGCTAACAAAATACGCGGTCATCTGATTTGGTTAATCACGAGTATGATTACAGACCGAATTGGATGACACGAAGTTCTGTTACGAATAATCATAACTTTAACAAAATTTGTGATATATTAGGCTCTTTTTTTTAATCAAAACAGAAGAAATTCCGAGATTTTTTTGCTAGCAAAAAAAAAAGCCATTTAAGCGCGCACATTATGGCGCGTACTGTCCAATTACTTAGGCATGATGCGTACTGTCCTATTTAACTGTCCTATTAAGGCTGAAATCTGGGCAGTTGATAGCCAATCAGATCTAAGAATTTTGTTATAGTTATGATTATAGACCGAATTGGACTCCACTCAGTTCCATTACCATTATTTATCAAAAGCACTGTATCTACAACAGACAATACGATACTTACTTGGAATTTATTACACAGAGGTAGACACAGGAAAATGGTGTCACTTGATCTTCTTGTAATGAATCAACTGATGAATTCAAATCTACTTCACTATTATTGAAGCAGCCAACAAACCAAGGAACTAACGAGGAAACTTGTGTTAGTCAAAGGTCACATAATAGAACTGTACATGGAGCCAAAAGAAATGAGAATGCTTATTTTGAGTCAAATGAATCAATAAGTCATGAGTCCAGTTATAATAAGTCACATCCAGTGTTCTTACCAGGAGTTCATGCACTGGGGTCCACAGGACCCACAGAGAAGCTAAAAAGGGGTCATGAGGGAGAAAAGCGGGTCACAATTTTTAGATACAGTTAACTCAACATTTTGACAGACGCCGTAACCAATTAAATTTTGGCTCATATCATAAGGAAATGTACGTATGTGTACGTATGGTCACGTACACTTTGTAATAGAGCGTTTTCACTCACGTGGCCATCATCTATGCAAATTTATTGGAACAAAAGAAAGTTTTTGCATAAGAAAAGAGTCCAACTCCCACAGGATTAGTTTGGGACACCAACATGGCCGCCGTTTCATTGTTTTGGGACACCAATATGTCCGCCGTTACGTCATGTGAAAACACTCTATAGGTTTGTTTTCCTTCTTTGCGCCCTTGGGACCCCTTGGGAAGTGCAGCAATGCCGCAATGCTGCGGTCAGGTAAGAACACTGCAGGTCAGCATTGAACATTGACAACAGTGGGGTCAATTAGGGTTGGGGATCGACCATTTGACTTTTAAGAGGGGGTATGGGTGATTTCAGAGAAAAATATCCTGCAGACTGATTGTGAGGGGAAAAAATCTTGCAAGGAATACCTGGCAAAAAAAACATTCCTACACTGAAAATATAATGTGCAATGTTGGAAATAAAATCTTGCACTGTGCATGTCAGGAAAAAAAATTCTGTTACCAGAGGTTGGGAAAAAAATTCTTACCCAAACCAAATCAACCATACCCCCCCCCCCCCCCCCCCCCCTTCAAATGGTCGGCCAATGACTACAAGCCATTGAAAGACTAAATTTACAGCCAAATTTTTTTACAAGATGTCACTGACATATCATAAATGGTTATGTAATGGTCATATGTAATGGTTACCTATATTGCTTCTAATCTAAAAGTTTACAAAATTAATATCATGGACTGTCAAAACTTTAGATCAAGAGAGGTTTTGGTTATTTTAACACACTGTTTTTCCGTAGTTTTCTGAAGCGTCCGAAAGCCCCTTTCCTGAAATGATTTGTTTTAACATATTAAACCGACCGTGCTTCCCCGAAAAAATAGAAGGGGAACGCCTGATCGTAGGTTTCTTACAAGAAGTTTGCTCAGAATATATCATAAAGTGTTCAAATGAAAACTCCAAAACTGTCGTTCTTAAATGAAAGAAGCCAAATATTGAAAGCGCTTAAAATCTCTTACTGACTTTTTGTATATTACTGAGTAACAACAATATGATCGAAAACACCGAAGATCTACCTATTAAAAACTGCTTCGGAATGTACTATCGTCGTGGCAAATTAATAAAGCGATTTCGGAAGGTCAGCTGATGAAACCAATTGAACACGGCATAATAAAGTGACCAATTAGCTACAATAGCTTTGGAAGCGACTCCAATAAAACATTAATTGTCCATGTTGAATACAAGTGATGACCTGTATTCAACTACTGGTAAATTTATTATAATCATGGCACGTGAAGCGAATCGACTGCTCTTATCTCTACAAAGAACAACTATCTCAGCTGGTTTTGATGCAGAAACCAGTGAAATAGTTTATTCTCTGCCTTTGAGAAACAGAAAACCAAAGAGAAACCCTAGAAAGCGAAGAGACTCTCCGCGTCACTTCTATATCATGTATATGTACGTTTGACAATGCGTCACGGTCATGGATGAAAACAGATTTTCCGATGTGAAAAGATTTTGTCAGTAGACTCGTTCTGGCGTGAAGAAAGCATCAATAAACTCTGTGGGACTTCAAGCATACTATTTCCATACCTAACTAACACAGTATTTGATAACTTTATACGACTAAATAAACGGAACAGGCCACAACTCGAGGAAACGTAATTTACAAGCTCACCTTCGAATTCGTCTTGGTCGCCGGGAGTTGCGCATGCCGCAAGAAAAAAACACAGTAAAATCAGCCCATACAGCAAATGTAGCTTCTTAGCCATTACAGAAATAATTTAACAGCTATTGCGAGCATGTTCTCTCTTTTTTTCGGCGGTAAAACAAGGATATTTTCTCCTCGTATTTTGCCTCTACTAACATATTGGCATTCCACAAAACAGTTGTAATGAGGTGTCAAATAACGGCAGCATCTAGTCCCCAGGGATTTGCGGCGCGGCGACATCACGAACAGTTTTTTATCCGGGGGGGGCGGGTACTTTAGGAATTTCTTGGTGGTGATGTGCCGCTGGGACCATGCAACCAACTGATCAGTTTCCTGAAAAATGATACCCTATTCTAGACCCAAACGTTCTGATTTATATACCCTGTTCAAAAGTAAACTGCTTGAAAACCATACCCTTCACAGCGGCACATACCTATATAGCCCATATATGGCAGTACCCCCCAGGGAGGTTATGCAGGTTGGCGCACAAGAAACAAGGGGATATAACTCGGCAAGAGTTTCCCTCTGCAGTCTACCTTTACCATAGAAGTACTTCTTCTTCGTCCTTCACTTTCAGTGAACGCGGAGACAAGAAAGCTCGAATCAATTCTTTCCATCCAGTCCTCTCTTTGCTGCTTCACACCATGCAGAGGTCGAGTGAGTCCCTAAGTCAGCCAAACGAGAAGGCCTGCACGTTTCAACCTCAATACAGTAAAACCTCTCAAACCTAAACAAAGGACCGTCAGCAAAAAAATAAAATAAAATAAATTATTCGTACGATCCAGGATACAAACAACCCAATTTTCTTCACTTGTGCGAGCAAATGGTATTATATTTGGCATGTGCCAGAAGAGAATTGGAGAGAAGGCCACACTTCGTCTCTTTTAACGGCAAAAAAACTAGCTAAATATATTTTTTTTCAGACTCAGGATTAATGACCTCATTTCCGGCACCATCTGAAACAAAGAAAATCGATAAATATCTAACCATTTGGGGCACTTGTTGACCCTCTTTCTTCATAAAGAATGCAAAGAGGACCGCAAATTAAATACAATTTGGAGAATTTGTATAATTTTTTTAAACAGAACAACGACAACACTGGAAATATAAGACTATGAAAACCTGAAAACAACCTTTTTTCGGACAACACTCGCAAAAGGAGAACCGATAATCGCAAAAAAAAAAAAGAAAAGGAAAAAAAGAAAAGGAAAAAAAATGGCTTTCACTGCATATAAATTTACTCAGTTACTGTAGAAACCATTCACTTCGTTTTTAACTCGAATAGTAAAAAAAAGGGGGGCCAAACCTCTTGTTACTCTTCCTTTAAAGTCCATTGAGGGACGTTCTCATGCATGATTCAGAGCATACCTCTACTCTGATTTCCCAAATGCCCTTCGCGCACGTTGTTCGTTGGAACAAGCAAAACTCTTTACAATCTTCACAGTGTCTAGTGTTTTAAACTTGCAATAACCAAAGGTTACGGAGTGCGGGCGACAACGATCGATGGTCCATAGCTGTGCTTTGCGTTAAGTTTCACGTGAGAGATAGAACACGCGTGATCAGATTACGAGTTATAGACGGTCCAAACGCGCGTGATCAAATTGGGTTCTGTGCATTCCATTCATTCTTAGTGGAAGTCCAAACGAATGCTGGCTACATGCATGCAACGCATGCGTAATAAAACCTGGAGATTAGGATTGCGGGCTCCTCTTGTGGCCCACAATGATAACCTTAACAATGTTCCGCGATCTAATTGGCTATTCTCAGCTTGCACTGTCACGCAATGAAAAATAAAAATGCAAACCATTCAATACAGAAGGACTAGAATCTGGGAAATGAAAAAATATAAATATACAAAAACCCTTGCCAACTGAATCAGGTCTGTGAAATATTTCAATTGCGAGATATTGGGAAAAACGGTTTACCTAAATTTATAAAGCTTTGTATGGAAACGCCATGTTGGTGTCCCTTTCAGGAACACCAATATGGCCGCCGGATACCAACAGAAACATCTGTTTTCGAGTTTTCCTACTAATGCGTGAATTCTTCGCTTGAGGAACTCATAAAGGTTACAGTAATATTTATTCTGAGACAAGGAGAGTTTAGATTGCAAAATCTCCCAAAATCGGTAATGTTTTTAACCCACATAAGAGCTTTCCCGGCCGCCAGCTAAATGCCGCGTCACGCTTAAGCCTGGAAATTCAAGTGTCCTCTCTCGCAAAACGAAGAACCCTTTCGAACCAAAAACTTGTTTATGTAAAGATGTTTAGGTGCTGTAATACCTCGTGGAAGTAGAAACTCAGAAGAATCGATAGTTTCTTAGTTTGATTTTTGGTGACGTCAAGTGCAACCCAAGAATTGGCCGCTTTGATTTGATATTATCGTCGCGGTGGTCACGATCATATCTTCATTTAAAATTTGTATTTCCGCAGCTCAAATCATCTTCAAGTGTCATTCCTTTCACGGCCGGGTTAAGATGAACTCAAAAACTTGGCCTGCTCCTAATGTATGGGTCTTCATAGCTCAAATGGTAGAGCACTGCAGCGCTAACGTAGCGGCCATGGCTTTGAATTCCGTTTAAGTACTGAAAAGAAAATTTCGGGTTCATTAACTTTGCAATTGCTTAAATTGCAATAACCAATCCAACGATCATGCCGGCATCTTTATTTAAAATCTGTATTTCCGCAGTTCCCATCATCTTAAAGTTTCAAGTGTGTACGTAATCGATTTGAGACAATGCATCAGTAGGCAGTTGCTCAGGCGGTCCTGCTTCATGGTGCTTCTTAGGTAGTTCTTGGGTCCCATCTGAGGGCAGAAAATGTGCGTTCTGCAGTCGCCGATGTCCACAGGTATTGTCCAATACATCCGTAAAAGTTTTTTCGGCCCCAAAACGTGGGGTGGGGCTCTCACAAATTTCTACTGGAGGCAGGGGGGGCTACGGACCCCTTGCTCCCTCTGCTCCGCCGCCTATGGTCTCTCAGTCTGCCAAGCATGACAAAAAAGAGAAAAGAACCTCAATGCAGTCTGCGTCCAGCAAGCGAGCACATGAAGGGAGGAGAAAATAATAATTAAAAAAAAAAACAATCAAAAACGTACTACAGTCGAACTCCGCTAACGGCCACCGATTCACAACGGCGAGCTCTCAACAACGGCCACTTTATTTTATCCCGGCGGACAGTCCATACAATTACTCCTTGCTCGTTTTGTCAAGTTACATTTTGATTCAAAACATAGTTCAAGCTTTGGGTGTGTTTTACCTCTATATATTATTTACGATTGGATTACCATCATGGGATACAGAAAGCATGAACTTAGCACAATAAACATGTTGTATTCCCTAAAAACAATTTGTCATATTACACCCTTTCTCCCCATGACGGCCACCTCTCCACAACGGCCACTTTCGTCTGTCCCCAAGGTGGTCATTGTGGAGAGGGTGGACTGTGGAGCTCACATAAGCAATAGACCACACATTCTATGGGTCCGGCGTGATAACCCGCGCGGAATGCTGGGAGAATACGAGAAAAGCTTGTAAATCACGAGCCGAAGGCGAGTGAGTTACAATCTTTTCTCGTGTTCTCCCAACATCCCAAGTGGGTTATCACGCCGGTAAACCCATAGAAAGTGTGGTCTATTGCTTTTATAAAATAACTTTAAGTTTTCTACGAGTTTGCCGGCACAATAAACCATAGGTTTTTAACCAATCAGAACGCGGGTACTATCTCAGTTATTTTATAATATATTATAAAGACGAAAAAATGCGATTTACAAAACTCTGAACGCTAGTAACATATATAAAAGGTAGGTATGTGGAGTATTATCGTCCTGGTGGGTGTAGTTCTGAAGGGGACTGTTGTTAACAGTAACTGACGTTTTGACAACCTGTCTGGTAGTTCAAAGTGAGTTGTATATCAATGCAATAGACCTTTGAAAATGCTTACACAGGTTATCGAAACGTCAGTCACTGTCAACAACAGTTCTATTCAAGATTACACTCACCTAGACTATGATACTCCACCTACTTATAACATGATTCCTGGGTTCAAAACATTCATCAAAAATTATATAAAAAACAGTACGAAGACGTGGCAGAATATTTATCAATTTTATTCAAAATATGTGTTGAAAGATTCAACGTATTTCTTTCGTATTACACGCAAGCATAATATCAAGTCTGGAAAAGAAGCAGAACATTTAAAATGTGTATCAGAGCCTATCCACGTTTTCGTGAATATTAAACCCAAGAAATAAGAAATCGGTTGGTTAACATAAAATAGCAAAATACGTTGGTGAGAAAAAAACTCTCGGCTTCCTTTTTTTGTAGTTAAAGAAAGCATAAATACTTTTCCGTCTTTCATCTAATAAATTAAGATGTATATTTGAAATGTACTGTTTAATAATCAACTGCAAATCACGGTTTCCAACTGTTATGAATCATATATAAACTTTGCACTGGGTTTAACAGACTAAAATATAAAAAGTCTCTCATTAACGCTGTCAAAACAAAGCGTTAGTTTCACTTCTCGCTCCATTAATACAAGACAGTCTTGGATCCAAGTGTGGATTCAACGCTTTGGATTCCGGATTATTGGTTCCCTTGCATTGAATTCCGTATTCCAAAGCCCACGATTCCACGTTCTACAAGCAAAGATTTCCTGCATTTCTGATTCCACAAGCAAAAATTTTGTGGATTCCGGAATCCGGGTGACCTCACATGGGGCCGAGACACTTCGGGATTACCTCTTTGTAAAAACCTGTGAAGTGGCTCTTTTGTGTTGACTTATCAGTGGCTTCTTTGTATTGACTATTTTACGTCACTCGTGAGTTTCACAGGTTTTTAAAGCGAGGATGAGCCGACACTCCGGTAAAAGGGGAAGCTTTATACCACAACTGGCCATAACGAAACGGGTTCTTTACTTTGGCGTGAGAAGGACAAGAGACGATTTAGACTAGGACGTCGACAACGGATCCTTTTCGTTTGCATAATAACGGCTGCGGAAGAGACTTATCAGCTGGCTTAAAAATCATCTCCACGGGGGATCCCCCGAAGTTGACTGCGATCCTGAAAATAATAAAATCAACTTATATAATCGTAATAACCAAAGGATACGGAGCGCGGGCGACAACGATCAGAGGTCAAAACGCTTTTGCTCCATCACCGTGCGTAAGTGAGAGAGAGAGAGAAAGAGTGAGAGAAAACACACGAGATCAAATTGCGTTCTGTGCATTCCATTCATTCTTAATGGAAGTCCAAACGAAATGCTGGCTACATACTTGCGACGCATGCGTAATGAAACTTGGAGATTAGGATTGCGGGCTCCTCTTGTCGCCCGCAATGATAACCTTAACAATGTTCCGCGATCTAATTGGCTATTGGCCGCTTTGATTTTAGCATCTTTTGAAAACACGTGCAGTTTGAACCGCGCTTTACGGAGACCCGCTTAACACGGACACCCAGTTATTACGGTAACCTTTCTTTGTCCCTTGGGAAACCTCCTACATTTTCTCTGAATTCAACCCGCTTGAAGGAGCTCTGTCACCGCTGCCCTTGTGGGGATTGGGGGGGGGGTACTTGGGTTAATTTTCGCTAGGTATGTGCCGCTAGCCTCATAGAACCCCTACCCCATTATAGTCTTTTCTGTGGCCATATTATAGACCCCATCTTAGTCACTTCGCGGGGAAAAATTAATTTTCGCAATCCCAACTTAATCACTTTCTTTTCATGCATCTACCTTATAAAGCCTTTCAACTTGGTCATCCTCAAATGAACTGATATATTTGTTAAACTAAAGGTGGTGTAAATCTCTCTATTATTAAATCCCACATACCTGAATTCTCTAACCCCCCAAACCCTGAAAATGTGAAAATGTGCGACCCCACTCTAGTAACTCTTATAAAAATGCAACCCCACAATAGTCAATCCAGTCATGAAACCGCGACCCCATCCAGCGGCACATCTCCATTAGCCTACCACTAGTATATATTATGCCCCCCCTCCCCCGGCCATCGCTGTCTAGTTCATTCTCTGTATAATTAACAATTATTCCGTTGGATATGAGTTAGCTATAATTATCTCATATCCAAGAAGCGCGTGTAGAATAATTGTTTTATTAAAAATTAAAAACATAATATCGAGCGATCCTTCCCGACTTTATTTGTAAAAACAACCGATTTTCAGCTTGTTTTTAATTTCGCGCAGACGCGTACAGTTACCATATTTGGAGAGCATGGTATAATGGCTCGTATACCATGATGGCTAAGCCAATCAGAGTTCTAGAATTCCATTATCGAATGATTCAGTTTCTAATAATGCCAGTTACACGTCCTTTTTCGCTGTGAAAATTACGAAATACTGGTGAATGAAACAAAATCACAGCTTTTACCAAACAAAAAATGTTTGCAAGCATTATATCAGTCGTTACAAACAACAAAAATGAACTTTGAAAAACTGTTAGGCTAACAAGTTTTCAAAAACCACAGTTACAATCCGTTTCAATCTTTTTCGAGTTTTTCCATCCGTGTCTACTTTTGTACTTGCTGTGTCATTTATACTCTCTTCTAACTTTTTGAGCGCTTATTTTAATGTTTCACTCTGTTTGGCGGCAGATGCTCTGATAAATTTGGTTTCATACGGACAATGGACACATGTTTCCTGCCCAATCAAGAGATTCGTTATCAACTGTGTGCTGTGATGGACCTTTCCTTTTTGAAGGTAAAAAAAACCTTAAGTTGAAAGCATTTCGATGTTCCCAGCGCTACAGTAGTACACTGGATAGGAAAATTGCAGAGGTCGATTTCAGACAATTTTGGCATCACATGAATAATGTAGAGCATGGTTTTGATTAAGTAATATATAGATGCGCGATTTTTAAGTGTTTTTGTGAATTAAGTTCGAAATATAACGTCTTTGCGAAGGATAGAAATGCTTTATGTGACGATGCTTATGTCCTCTTCTATTTCCTTAGTAGTCAGTTCTAATAAAAGGTGTCTTTTGACTTTCATAACACGACCAGCTTAGGTAATACGGGACACCCTGTTAAGGTGACTCGACCCAGTTTTTTTGGGGGGGTACCATCCCACTTTGAAGCTCTCTGGTATCTCCACCTTTACTTTTATCGTAAGTCTAACACATAGAATGGATAACAGATAGATCAATCTACAATATAACATAAAATTTTTGGTGATCGGAGTAAATGTTACGTGGTTATAATGCCACGCCCCTTTGAGGTCTGAGTCGAAAATCTGCTGTTGCCGGCATTTTTTCGTGAAAATCTCTCGGCTACACATAGTGCGCATTAGTGCCTTGCACTGAACAGAGTTTCACCAAAATTGCAAAGACCCAATTCGAGAAATTCAGCGGTTTCCAAATTTAGGTCATAATTTATGCAAAAAATGATAAGCAAACTTTACACGATTTACACGAGCATTCGGAAGTCAGCCAAGCGCGGTCATTGCACGCGTGCTGAACAAGAATGCTGTATAATGACAGACTAGAAGCAATAGACAACTCCCAAAGCACAAACTCCGCCAAAACGCTAAAAATCTTCAATGTTTACTCAAGTTTAGGCTTATAGAAGATAATGTCACAGTTTTTCAATGGCCATGAAATTCAAAGTCCGGGTAGTTAGTTAATCAATTGTGGCCCTGAAAAAATTTGAAGGAAAAAAAACTACGAATTTTTAAGAAAATGCTTTTTTCGTGAGAAGGACTCTTAAACAAACGTCAACAAATAGCGAAAACTATAATTTCTATATGTTTGCTTTGCTCGAAATCGCGCGCATTTACAAGGCCCTAAAGCGTTTTGCTGACTTGCAAGGACCCATCTGTTATAAGGATGCTCAAAATACAGAGATGAATCGCATAGTTTATTAGATATAATCCGTGTAAAGTTTGCTTATCATTTTCGCATAAATTATGACCTAAATTTGGAAACCGCTGAATTTCTCGAATTGGGTCTTTGCGATTTTGGTGAAACTCTGTTCAGCGCAAGGCACTAATGCGCACTATGTGTAGCCGAGAGATTTTCACGAAAAAATACCGGCAACAACAGATTTTTGACTCAGACCTGAAAGGGGCGTGGCATTATAACCACGTGACATTTACTCCGATCGCCAAAAATTTTGTTATATTGTAGATTGATCTACCTGTTATCCATTCTATGTGTTAGACTTACGATAAAAGTAATGGTGGGGATACCAGAGAGCTTCAAAGTAGGATGGTACCCCTTCAAAAAAACTGGGTCGCGTCACCTTAATACGGATACTTTCTATCCCCCCCTTCAGTGTCCGTGTAAAACTACAAGGGGAATGGGTACAAGTTTTCGGCGCAATGATTTCTGGGATCATTTCGCTGGATAAGCGTTACTTGTGATTGGTTAACGGTTTTCTTGAATACCATCCACCAATCATAACTAACACTTGTCCACCCAAATGATCCCAGAAATCACTGCGTCTAAAGCTAGTATCCTTTCTTCCAAGAGTGAGTTTCTGGAGAGGGGAATTGGGCAGTGCGTGTTACGACGCGCTTGAATGGTGTGACCATTTAACTGAAAGCTACTGAGCAATACTTTTGCGTGGTACGGTGTTCGTCACAGAGAACAAGTTTTTAAGTCTGTGGATGAAATCTTTTAAGTGTGTGACCACTCAAATGAAAGCTTCTGAGCAGAAATTTCCGGTGATATTGTTCGCTACGCAATAGAAGGTTTGGCAGCAATTTCACATGATACTAGTAGTTTTGAAAGCACTCCTCAGCATTTTTCGAGGAACTGTATTAGGGACATTCTTGGGATACCCTGGGGACTAGCGGATTTTTAACGCGTGCAGCGGGGAGGGTGTCAGCTTGAGGCCGACAGATCTTCGGCAGAAGGCCGAAACCGGAAACCGCGCATAAAACGTCTGTGGCACCCAGGGAAGGGCTGAGACCCGGGGGGTAATCCCTATAATTGCGCATACGGGGAGGCTCCGCCCGGAAGGACGTACCTTTTCGGTCAAAAATGGTATATAAAATGGTAAGGGGTTGGACCTCGGGGCGGAGCCTCCCTGTATAAACTTTGTTGAGTAAACCCATCCCACCAAAGGGTGGAGGGTGGGGGGCTGAGAAACCAGCGAAGCAGCTTACTTGTCTGAGACATGCACTGGTGTTGATATATCGTTCTGAGAATCCACTTGGACCAACAGCTTAGCTACCAACTCGACTACATGCTCCGTGTGGAACACAAAATCACCTTTGAGGTGATTTTTGTCATGTTTGTCCTAAAGAAAATAAACAAGGATAGATATGTAGATAAGTCGCCAGTGGTGTGCTTGACGGTTCTAAGCGACGGACCATTTATTTTTGACGGGGAGGGATGGAAAATTGATAAAAAAAAAGGTTGGAAAGGCTGTAAACACTGAAAAAAAAATTGTGTGCAAGTAAAAAATAAAGTGTTTGCAGGAAGACGGAGACACACAAGAAAATTGTTTGCAGCAGGAGCCGCATATAAAAACAATGTTTGCATGTGAAAACTCCCCCCCACCCCTGTCCAAAAAATAATGGTCCGTCTCTAAGGCCCTAGGGACCAGTTCAAACGTCGAACTTTTCAAGTATCGAACTTAATACCTATTTGGTTCAACAGTTGATTCGGAAGTCGAACTTAACATTAGTCAGACTCGATTCATTTTCACGATGTACAAAGGTCTACAATGCTTAGCAGTGAAAATAAATTGTAGTAATTTATGCATTAGGTTCGGCACATGAACAGTTCGACGTTTGAAATTAAGTCGCTCCACGATCGAAATTTCCATGTGGGCCACACGATCTTCATTCATGGGTCGACCCAAATTAGATATCACGGACTTAACTGATTCAAATGTCGATCTCTTCATGTACTTAATTGAAGGGATTAGGTTCGGTACATGAAAAGTTAAACGTTTGAACTAGGCCTAACCCTGTTAAGTGTCCCTGGGCGAAATCTTAACTGCCACCACTCAACTGAAAGCTAACTGCGTCGGTAACTTTTGTTACCAACTACATCGCTGGAAGAAGAAATTGGGTTACTGGAGTATCCAGGGGCTTCCACTTTTGGCAATACCTTTTGTTCCTGTGAAAAAAATCCTAAGTTTGGCCACTCAAATAAAATTGAAGAAACTTTGCGTTACTTTACTGTGGTAATGTTTATTATGCAGTACAAGGTGGTTCTAACTTTTGTGTCTGTGAAAGAAATGCTTACGTTTGACCATTCAAATTAAAGCTACTGAGCAGTACTTTCCTGTGGTACTGTTTACTATGCTATACAAGTTGCTTCTAACTTTTGAGTCTGTAGATGAAATCCTAAGTGTGACCATTCAAATGAACGCTACTGAGCAACTCTTTTCTTTGGTACTGTTCATGTCTTAGGGTGGCGGTTCTATACGTAGGCTAATAAGACTAGTATCAGGAACGATCATACGTGTTAAGACACCAACCGTGCGAATATGGAACACAATGATTCCGTCCTTAAGCGGCGTCACGGATATTCTCTGAATATCGCCCAGGTCCATATTGTATTTAGTTTGCAGTGATTTAGGGTCTAACACCAGCAATTCCGTGTCTGACACAGTCAAAATGTGCGGTACTGCCTGGGAAAGAAACAAATCAAAAACATGAAAAAATAATCTTAAAACCAGTCGTTACTGTTTCCTTGTAGCCAAGCTAACGCAGAAGAAGCACTAAAGGCGTAAGAGGACACGTTCACCTGCAAAGCCTTCGAAGTTAGTTTGTGACTCGCAATAAGTTCCGTTTGCAAAGCGGAACTCTGAACACTACTATGTGGTTTGGTTTCCATTCATCTTATCACCGTATTAATTCGTTTAAGCGCCCAACCTCTCGTTCTGAGTGCCTCCTCACATTTGTACGCGTCTCTAATGATTGGCCAATGCTTACGATGCTCTGGAAGTGGAAGTCGTCCTAACTCGTCCCCAGTTCTCTCTGAGCCTCAGTAAAAAGGCGCGCGAAGCGTGACGGGAAGGAGGAGGCAAAGGTTTGAGAGTCCCTCTTCTTTCATTTTCCCGCCACAAACCGCGTGCCACCCAGAAGAGTGGACTAGGAACGAGACTTGCATCGCCACCCTACCCCCTGTTATTATTACCTTGCCATCTTTTCTGTTGATTTTAAGTACAGAATCCGCCCACACTATGTGCAAGTTGTTGTTCTTCGCGTTCTTCTGCCACTTTGGATTTGCCAACAGATTCACGCGGTCGCTTTGGAAAGGGACTGGTACTCTGAAATCAGACATGAGATTAACATGGTTGCCACGGCCAGAGGTTTCTGAAATTCCCTGACATTTTCTTGACAAATGTAAAATTTCTCTGACCAACTCTGAACTGAGTTAACAATTTCACAAATTACTCCTGATAATGGACTCACTGCTCCCCTCACAGCCTGATCCCCTCCACCTATTTATTTATGCTTTCAGCCGGTTACGTGAAATGTACATGAATGATAGTTCCTTAATTTAACGTGCAAAAAGGATTCATTTCTTTCAAAACCCAATAACAGCATAATTATCGTTCCATTTCGTGAAACATTTGCTACCAATTAATGTCCGTTAAATGTACAAAGATACTCTTAAAATTTCCCTTTTTCCTGACTTCTTTCAAAGACTAAAATTTTCCCTGACTCGAAGAGAAATTCCCTGACTTTTCCCTGAGCTTGAAGAAATTTCATTTTCCCTGACCATTTCCTGACTTGTAGCAACCATGATTAAGCTTCCCGTTTTCAGCCATACTTAGTAGCCCTCCCGTACTATCCACACCAAAATCTCTAAGCAAAGATTTTATGCGTTCATTCGACTCATTTCAACCCAAAACAAGCAAAACGTTACGTAGATTTCAACGGCACTTCACTCGAAAGCCTTCTTGAAAATTTCGAGTGCACTACGTAGCATTTTGCCTTTTTATGAAATACCTACACTCATAACATTGACAGTTCCATTTCCCACCTTAAACGAAAACGTGAAGATCAATTGACCCGATTTTAGCCTAAATGCAGGCACTTGAGAAATAAACAATGCATTTCAAAATGATGCAAGGGAGAGTGGAGCCCACGCGTGTTTTTCTCCCTCTCGCGACTACCTAGATGCTGCCCACGTGAGTGAAAACACTCTATACAACATTAAGACTAAACTTTCCCAGTGCTCAAAATACGCGTTAATAAGAATACGTGCAACTCACGTAAGAGGATATGAAGATTTCTTGTCCTTGAACACCTCACTAGCTTGGAGTTTTTCTTTAAAGATTTTTCGCTTATCAGGAGTTAACTTGTCTCTGAACTTCTTGCACTGAAGAGAAGAAAAATAGAAAGCCACTGAATGAATTAGACAAAAGAACTGAGACAACGAGAGCAGGAAAATATTTCTCAGGGCGGATCCAGAGGGAGGGTTGAAGGGGTCCGCACCCCTCTAAATAGAGACCTTTAGCTTCTAAGACGAGTATTAGTACGAGTAACGAGATTTTCTACGCGTGGGCCAGCGTAATTTTTTTTTTTGCGGGGGGGGGGGGGGGGGGAGCGTGATAGCCGGGCTTAACCTTCTTCCGAATAAAGATTACAGTGCTAATTTTCCCGGTGAAAAAAAGGTACAATGACGCTTGTCGGGATGTCTATTTTTTGAGAATACGCGAAAAAAACGTTACGTCAAATCTGGTACTCGTAGACGTTCTTGTCTTCGAATCTACAGGGGTGCATTCCATTCATCAAAAATTCCGGTCCAAAATTTCAGAAATTCCACGTACCCAGTGGAACGGTCCATTCCGGTTGTACAGGCCCAACCCAAGCCAGCGAGAGTTTGATTACTGCCCGAATTGACGAAATCTGGACAAAACCATCCAACTACTTAACGCAAGAGAAGATTTTAATGAAGAGAATGTCAATTGTGTAACGGCGCGGAAGAGACCTTATGATTGGCTTTAACTGTGTGCATCAGCCTGCAAATAGAGCCCCCTCTTATTTCTCCCCATCGCTGGGGGGAAAGGGGAAGGGGTGGGGTGTATTTGCAGGCGCGCGCACAAGTTGAACCTCCCCACCAAAAATTCCTGGATCTGGCCGTCTTTTTTTAGAAAACACATACCATAAATCCTCTATGAAGTCCCCCGAGGAACCTATTTATTTCAAACACATTTGAGTTTGAGATACCCTGGGTGCCAGAGGCTTTTCATGCGCGGTTTCCGGTTTCGGTCAACGTGTCGACGGCCGACTAAGCTCCTCGTCAAACGCGAGAAAAAACCTCTGGTACCCAGGGTAAGTTTGAGAGGGAGCTTAATAGAGAAGGGGGGCTTTTTTGAGAGAGGGGGCTTAGTTAATTAAAATAGAAAAGATGGTAGAATGCAAAGTGAAAAAGCTCAAGTACACGAAGTTAGAGTTCATGCAGCCAAGGATCTTTAACAAATCCGAACTTCCAGCTGGTGAATAAACCATCCTGGATCAGTCTACACGAGGTTTCACAGTCTATCATTTATCAGTGAAAAATAATAAGGGAAAGGGGAGGGGAGCTTAAAAGAGAAGGCGGGGCTTACTAACTTTAACTCATGCACGGATCAGTGATTTTGTTACAAATAGTTGTGGTGATTCCTGGGACTCATCTTGTGAAAAATCAAGAGTCTCAGTCCAACCTCTGAGTGCCAGTTCAAAAACACGAGTCCCTGGGTCTTTATGTAACCACACAGTTAATGTAAAGACAGACTCCAAAACTCTGTACTACAGTTTACCGAAATAAAAATATACTCCCTCTATTGTCAACACAATGAACAAAGACCAAAAGAAATATGCGCCGTTAAACAACAGCCACAAGAACAGCAGCAGAAATCACACAAATAGGATATTCTACAGAAACATCTTCAGATCGATCAATAGATCTTTGCCTCCTACGGGACGCATGCCGTAAATTATTTTGCGTCTTTGGGGATTTTTAAGCGTCAGGGAAGGAGCACGCAAAAGTAACAAAATCACTGAATTGGAATGCAGCAGACGCAACTGAACTACTTACTCTCCAAGCGTGATGAATGCCCTTCAGAAGAGTATTAGTTTTTCTAAACATGGGCGAAGATGACGGCCAGTGCGTGTCCACAGGAGAGACCGACGGCAGATTCTTGTTTAATGTCGTAAGGAATCGGTAACACTATAGTAAAACAAAATATACCTTAATGAAACTGTTATTCAAGATCATTCCTCTGAAATGGAACCTGCAGTAAGTCAAACCTAACCGTTTGGTTTTTAATGTTATAAAAATTTTTAACTTCTTTAAATAAAGGTAGGCGGTCCCTATATTCGTTTAGGAGCAGCAGCAACTTGTATACCACTACTATTAAAGAACGAGATGGGGGAGAAGGAGAGGGGCGCCTATTCGAGGGGCAGTTGTTTCATATTTTGGCCTAGTGGGTGGACGCTTATTCGAGGGAGGGCACTTACTAGAGCGTAGGCGCTTATTCGAGGAAATACGGTATAGCTCATAGTTGATGCCATTTTTTCTTTTTCTGCAAGGAGAACTTATCTACAGTAGTCCTAACCTGAGATCAGGCCCAATTTTAGCGGTTCTCATACATTCTCTAGCCCGCCGGAATGTTGTTTATAAAGCGAAACGAAAATTGAGTCTGATCTCAGGTTATAATAGTTCTAGAAAAAGAAGGCTGCTTCTCAAGAAGAGGAAAAAAAAGAACAGAAAACTATTTGAAAGAAAAGAAAAGGAAAGATATACTTCTCTGGCGAGCTCTAGCCTCAAGACCAAAGCCGCCATGTTTTAATGTGCTCGCTCCAATCACGCATGACATCACGCGCAGTAGGGATGCACAGTACAATACCAAGGAATAACCTTAAGGACTTGCGTGCAGTGAAACAAAAAAAAGAAACTTTCGAAACAAAAAAAATTCTTCGATTCTAAAAGCTTTCTTTCTCCTAACTAAAGACAAAATGAAATCACTAAAATCAATTTCTCAACATACCAAAAATAACCGAAGAAATTTCATGATCTTCGGAGCAGCATTTCGTCTAAACTTGGGATTATATAACCGGCGAACCTAGTACAGATAAAACATAAAAGGTGATGCGCTTTTCAAAAAGGAAAAAGATTCATGTAAGTGCTATAAGGTATATAAAACACGTGAATTGTATAATATTTATTTAACTGAGGCTAAGCTCACACGGCACTGGACGAATTTTCCACCAGCTGAAAAATTTGACTGGTCACTACGTTCACACAGAACTGTTCAACATCTTGGCTTTGTTCACACGGACCTTTCAACGGTTAGACGCCCAAATTTTCGTACGCTTAAGGCGGTTCTTCCACCTTTTCAAGCGGTGCCGTACAACTTAACGTGAAGCTTAACATTTGTATGCGCTTCTTTCAAAGGGGAGCGGACAGTGTCGAGAAATTTCACTGGGCAGTTTTCATACAATTTAAAAGAAAAAGCCTCAAGCGGTGTGGACCTGTGCGCAGTGTTCCCCAGTGCGAGAAAGCACACTGTTTGTTCAGCACGCGGGTAACGCCTGCACGTAATTTTGCAATTGCATTCGTTTGAGTATTTTCCCACGCCTTGCACGCGGTGGAAATTTTTCCCGCGCTTTTCACTGGAGATATATTTTCCCGCGCTGTGCAAAATTGCATTTTTCCTGTCATTTGAACCGGCTGAATGTTTTCACGCGCTTAGCAACGGTTTCATGTTTTCCGTGTTAAGCGCAGTAGGAGTGCAAACTGCAGAGTCTCTTTTCCCCTAACTTCGCGCGCTTTTAAGTCTCCGTTTGGTTAAGTCCCTCTACAGGTACCTGTGCCAACTTTTCCGGATAAATCTAGGTTTCTGGGAAACTGCCCACCTACCCCTCCCCTAACCCAACATTTTGCCCCAAATGAAACGCATATGTTAACCTTGAGTTAGGGGAGGGGTAAGTGGGCAGTTTCCCAAAAAACCTAAATTAATCCACTATTCTCACGCTAACAACCGATTGACCGCGACTTTCTTTGATTTTATTATTGCACTGTTCAGGTACACCGTGATTAACAACCTAGTTTACTAATACTTCAAACAATCTTGTGCAAAAACAGAGCTAAGTGTATTCACCTTCCAGCCTGTAAAATAAGCTGCTATAATGGACGCGGCTTCATTTCGTCTTTTTTCTAACTTTATGGAGCGCACAAGTTTACGAGCCTGAAAAGTAATGGAATACATGTAAGCGAAATTAGCAAAGCAAAACGTTTAATGTACAGGAAAACAGTTAGGGAATTGGCAGGCAGCTTTTGTACCAACTCGAGGAAAGATAAGAAATAAATGATTAACGGCCGGTAAAATTACCTTTTGAGGCCTATTACAGTTTTAGTTCCTTTGCGTAAACTATCATGTGTAATTATCACTGTTGAGATTAGCCATTACTTTCGTCGGTAATGCAAAGAGAAAATTCGGAATGCAGACCTTTTTTGCCAAAATTGTTGAGAGATAAAATATAACAAAAATGGTTTTATAAAAAATAAACGGCCGAAAAGTTAAGTTACTTTTTTAAGTAAGCGCATTGAACTTTTCAACAAAATGTTAAAGTGATTAGGTAGGATAAATTCCTAATTCAATAACTAAAATGCCCTATGATTACTTTCAAGTTTACGATTGCATCTGCAGTTAAGTTTAAAAACTTGTTAAATTATGTTTAGCTGTTCATTTGTTTACAAACCAGAAAAGATAATATACTACGCACATTTCAGAATAAGTAGACGCAATATCATCTAAAGCATTCGAGTCTAAAAAGAAGATAACGAAGAGCCACCGAAAAGAAACAGTTACAAATAAAGCGAAAGTTTGTGTCGCCATCCAATAGGAAGCCAGCGTTGCAGCCGGCCCACACATCGTCTAGACCACTGGTATAGGGCACTTTCCAATCAACCCAAAATTCCGGAAATTTTGGTTGGTACATTTAATGGAAAGGACAATTTCGGTTTGGTCCGACCGGAATATTCGGAACCAGCTTTGAAGGTGGTCCTCTTTGACTAGTCTGGTCATATCGGTCCGTCGGACCGAAATGTCCCTTTCCATTTGACAAAATTGTTGTCCCCAGTACCGCTCTTTTGTATTCTGCTTACAAGAACAATAACCAAATGCGCGGTGGCTTGGGACGAGTTTGTGTAACCGGAAAGTACCGTTCCATTGGGAACGTGGAATTTCCGAAATTTCACACCGCAAATTTTTGTTGATCGGAAAGCACCCATAGTCTATCCTGGCGGTTTAAAGTGTCTGCGACGCAAGATATGCAATAGAAAGCGAAAAGAAAAATCAGTGAATTTGTTCAAACCTGCCATCCATAAAAATAGGTACGTATTACACCCACGGCCCAAATACACTTCTTCTCATAAAGCATGGCCCTGTACAACTTCCGGGCCTAGGAAGCAAAACGGTTGTTTTTCTTGTTAATTGAAGTTCCCTTGGTGAAAGCACAAACGAGACCATTTATTCGAAGAAAAAAGAGATCACTTTAGGTTTCTGGGAAACTGCCCACCTACCCCTCCCCTAAGCTAACATTAACACTTACTTCTCACGTAGGGCAAAATGTTGGCTTAGGGGAGGGGTAGGTGGGCAGTTTCCTACAAACCTCAACTGATTCGAAAAAAAAAACAGCAACCAAACGAAGGTCTCTTGATAGCTTGAGAAAACAGCCGACATTTCGTGTCGCTCCACCGGTTTCCCGCGAAATGACTTCTGGGTAACAAGCGCAAAAATTCAGTAACGTTGGCGTGTCACTGCCAAGATCTTGTTACTGCATCTGATTGGTTGAAGCAAATTTCCATATCGGCACAACCAATCAGAAGCACTACCCAGATCTGGATAGTGACACGTCATCAGTATGGAATTTCCGCTCTCGTTCCTCAGACGTTATTTGGCGGGGAAACCAGTGCTTGCGTCGCGAAATGTCAACTGTTTTCTCAGCCTTGTTTCTTAATTGTCATCGTGTAGCTATTTCTCCAATTCAGACGTTGCATAAACGGCCCGGAATGCGCGTTGACATATATGCACGTTAAGCACGAAAACGAATTGAAAGCATCAAAATACGTGTCAAAATTTTCTCGACGGAAATTAGTTTTAGTGCTATTAGAGTCCTGAGAGTTATACGCTCCATTGTTTTCATTAGAGCACCTAGTAAGTTAAGTTAGCCTCGTTTAACTGGATCTCGCACCGATCATGGCCGCTGAACGGTCTGACCGGCCTTTCCTGACTTTAGGTATGCGTCCTAGGTATCTATAACCCAGCTGTCTGTGTGGTATCGTTGGGGGCCACTGGACTGTCCGACGCCGACTATAATAATTTTTTCAAGTTGGCCATTTTGAGGTTGCGCGTTGAGACTGGGTCGATTTTGTGTCGAACTGCACTATGGGACTGCTTTGGGAAAGCACAGGACACTGGGTTAAAATTCGTGTCCCAAAAAAATCCCATAGTTTAATTCGAAACCAAATCGACCCAGTCCCAAGCGCAAACCCAAAATCCCAATAGGTAATTTTCCACACCCACCTCTTGAGGAAACAGAAATCCCCGCCTCTTCCATAAGGGACAAGGGCTCTAGCTGCCAGAACCGATAAGAGGAGGCCGTTCTCGCAGCTTATACTTTGCTACTAATTTTAGATCATGCTTGCGTGCTTTATAATATTAATTTGCTTGTTAGTATTTAGCTAGCTGACCGATTTGAGTGATTACTAGCGCAGCCCTTTATGCATCAAATTATCATGTACGTACTGATTAACTTAAATCATATCATTTTATATATTTATATTTCTCCTGTGAAAATCAACATACAAGTTTCGGAAAAGTTACTGCCAAATCCGTTGTATCGCGCTGCGCGTTTTGCAAACTTCGAAGGGATTTTGGTAGTTTCTGTTGATCTGTTCCGTCAATCATGGTGAAATAAACTACACTAAAGTAATCATCTTAGCGGACCTCTTAGGAAAGATCTGTTTACTTGAACGAGTTCAAAAGGTCTTGGTTTTTGATTTGTGATTGGTGGATTTCAATCCGTTTTGTTCGTTTCTGTGTTTCAAGGTTCGTTGCTTGTGATCGTCCTGTTTCGGGTACTAATCGACTAGCTTGCTTCGAAGATTTTCCTGATCTTTCTTATTCTTGTCACTTGCAAGAATAAAGCAAAAATTCCACTCACCATCTGATCACGATTTCTGTTGCTATAATTCATTATAGTCCAAGGTCATTCTCAGTTTCATGTCAGTTTTGTATTTACGGGCCAAGCTGGGCAAGTCCGTTGCATTGTGATTTGCATTAACTCCGCCCCCACTCAAATGATTGACGGAACAGAAAAAACCCAAATCCCTTCGAAGTTTGCAAAGCACGCAGCGCTATACAACGAATTTGATAGTAAATCTAATGGTTTCTTCAACCAATTCACCAGTGTTAAAATGTTGGCTACCATTTTGATCTTCCACTTACAATTTGATAGATTTGTACTTAAATTACAATAATTATGACCACTGAAATGAAAGCTACAGAGCAGTACTTTCCTGTGCTACTGTTTATTATGTTGTACATGCTGGTTCCAACGTTTGAGCCTGTGGATGAAATCCTTAACCCTTCAAGCCCTAAGAGTGATCAGCATCAAATTTCGCCTTGTAACATCAATGCTTTGTAAATCAGAGTGGTCATGAGAATTACGGACATGATCACACAAGATGAATTTGCTTGATATCTTATCAATTTCTTCCCACTACTTTGCAGGAAATGAACAGAGGTAACAAATGAGAATTCAAATTTTGATCTTATGGTTTAAAGGGTTAAGTGTGACCATCACATGAAAGCTACTGAGCAGTACTTTGCTGTGGTATTGTTAAATATGCTGTGCAAGGTGGTTCTAACTTTTGAGCCCGTGGGTGAAATCCTGAAATGTGACCATTCAACTGAAAGCTGTTGAGCAATACTTTCCCTTGGTGCTGTTTATTATGATGTACAACGTAGTTCTCAGTTTTGAGTCTGTGAAAAAAATCCTATAGTGTGACCATTCAAATGAAATCTACAAAACAGTACCTTCATGTGGTACTGTTTACTATGCTGTTCAAGGTAAACAACACTCACCTTCCATCCACGGCAGAAAGAAGCGATTACAATGGCAGCATTCCTCGTTCTTTGATACTGATGTCGATCCTAAGCAATTTATGATCAAATAACAGGGCTTAGTTCAAGAAGCACCTTAATGTCAGGAGGTGCGGGCGCTACTTCCCTCTTTACAAGCATGTTAGTGTACATTTCTCTTCTACTGTCTAAAACTCTGACTTCACCACCGCCACGTCAGAAGCTACCTTAAAAAGTGCAGGACGGCGAGAAGAAGAAACTCTGGGAAAATACCCACCTACTCCTCTCCTGGGCCAACGTTGACACTCACTTCTCACTCAGGGAAAAATGTTGGGTCATGGGAGGGGTGGATGGGAAGTTTGCCAGACTCTAATACTGATCCGATCTGGATCTCGAGCAATCTTGATTTTTTTCTGGCCATACAAACAAATTAGGAAAATCACTCCATACATTGGCCGCAACAAGAGAAGTGCATAATATCTTGTTCTCTAGTCAACGTTAATGACAACAACACTCTACAATTAGCGTGTGCAAAGGTCCTCGGAAATCAATTGGTTTTACTCCAATTTTTTTAGTAGACTTACCCTGAATCCACGATAGTACTTGGCGATAATAATTTCACTTTCTTTCATCTTTCGATACTGTGGATCAGAACAGAATATTAACTTCGTATAAAACGACTAAAAAGACTTTTGATCTGACACATTGTTCGCAAACTGGGAGTATTTGAAACCCGACCAAATGGTGATTAATAGGGTCTTTTCAAATTATGTTATTTTATTTCTAAGTTCCAAGTGTCGCAGAGTATGATTAGTGTCCTACATGTAACAAAAGGGAGTTTTTGACGATGTTTTTCAGCGACGCACGGCAACCGCCGAAGTGAGCGTTTTTCTCTTTTAATAAGCCCTAAGGATACCAAATTTGTATTGCTAAGTGACGTTACTCTTAAGAAGACGATTTGCCGAAGAATTTTCTTAAAATCACGGCCGAAGAGTTCAAAAGGTCCACTTCCGGTTGACGTGCATCGCTCAAAAACTCCCTTATACCGCATTCGCCACTTTAAAAACGAGAAAGAAACTGGGTTCGGTTAATTTTCGCAAAGACTTCTGGGACTGTTACAAAGGACAAGGAAATTGGCCATTAGGGACTTTAAGATTTAACGACGCGATGGCAACGAGGACGTCTAAAAAACAATAGATTTAATAAGCAAAACAACTTTGTACGTGCGTCACGCTTTTTTGCTATATTTCTTTGCTGTTTTTGAGCGACTACAACGTGAAAATGCCCAATTTCGTGTTTTGTGGAGAACGTAAACAGGCAACGACGAAATTTTATTTCGCTTTCTGAACTTGAATATGGTCCTTTGGAATTCAAATTCAGGAGGGTTCGCGTGCACTTGACAAAGTGAGTAAGTAGAAATAATCGCGATAAAGACTAAAAGAACGCAAATTCACTTTTTAAGCGACGTTCTCGTTGCCGTCGCGTCGTTGGATCGTAAAGTCCCTAATAACTGACCAGCGCGTTCCCAGTAACGATTCCAGAAACAATTGTGGAGTAGACAGATAGTAGCCTGCGAACAGCGAACGTATGCGACGACCGGAAACACGTCTGCTGTTCGTAGGCTAGATAG